CGCAATAAGTCTGGCGAGCCTGTCGTCGCAGGTTTCTTCACAGTTCCGCACAAAGTTGATTCTGATCGCTTAATCACAGACAGGCGACCTCAGAATTGCACAGAGCAGCGATTGTCGTGGGCAGTCTTGCCGCAAGGTCCGATGCTCACCCAACTGGTGTTGCAGCCTTGGGAATCCATCCGCGGAAGTGCTGATGACATTTCGAATTACTTCCACTTGTTGAAGCACCATGACGGTTGGATTCCCTGCAATGCGGTAGGACGGCCACTTTCAGGTTCTCAGTTGCGCAAGTTTGGAGCTGAGCCGAACCGCCGTTACTTTCTAGCTTTGCGCACCATCCCTATGGGTGATCTAAATGGGGTTTGTTTAGCTCAAGGAACTCACGAAGCGATCTTAAAAGAAGCCGATTGTTTGCACGAAGCTGAGATGCTTCAGTATGGAAGGCCTGCTCCGGCCGGTTCTACTTGGGAAGGGCTGTATATCGATGACCACATCGTCATGCAAAAGCTTTCAAAAGGTAGTTGCAAGCAGACTCTCAGGGATGATAAAGTTCTTTCCTCATCACGGGGTCACTATGAAGAACTTAACATTCCTGTTTCGGCTAAGAAGGCAGTTACCAAGGCTTTCAGCTTCCAAGCCTGGGGCACGCATGTAGACAGCAGCTCCGGCAGAGTGGGCGCTCCTGTTGACAAGCTCAGGCACCTGTTAGTTGCCAGCCGGCAGTTCCTCCAGCTGCCACGAGTGAACCGAAAGTTGCTGCAGCGTTTGGTTGGGCTTTACGTTCATCCTTTCATGCATCGGCGTGAGTGCATGGCTGTTTTTCAGGAAACGTATAAGGTCATTGAGCGGTTGCCTAGAAATAGGTTAAGCCCCCTTCCCCAGAAGTGCCAAGAAGAGCTTTTGTGGGCCAGTTTGCTGTTGCCGTTCGCTCATGCATGTATCCGATGGCCGATTTCAAACCACGTCAGTGCCACAGACGCTACGCCCACCCACGCCGGGCGCACTGTTGCAGAGCTACCGGCCAAGCTTACCGAAATGTGTTATCGATTTGCAGTTCATAAGGGTGAAGCTGTCAGACTCGACTGGGCCTTGGGCGCTCTTGCACCGTCGTCCGAGCTTGTGTCCGCACCGCGTGAGCTTGAACAAGCTCTACTTTGCGGAAGATGGAGAGTCACAGAGCGATCCAAGTTCAAGTCAGTCTGCCACATCAATGTCCAGGAGATGAAAGTCGCAGTGAAACAGCTTAAGATTGCTGTCGCGCAGTCTTCTGAAGGTTTATGCTTGGTGAACCTCTGTGACTCCCGCGTCGTTTGCGCTGCATGGGCCAAAGGCCGCAGCTCGTCAAGGAAACTCAACTCGTGGCTTCGCAGGGTTCTAGCGCACAGCGTGGCTGGTTTTAAGTCTTTGAGTCATGTTTGGGTTAGCACCAAAAGCAATCCAGCTGACTATCCCAGCCGCAATGCTCCTGTCCCTAAGCCCTTAAGCCCCACGCCTGGGTTACGCACCCTCCTAACAGAAGCAGAAATCCTGGCCATGCAAGCATCGCCCGGCAAGCCTCGTTCGAAGTCGCGGGTCGGTGACAGTACTGCTTGCGAGTGAAAACAAAGGCTACTGCCGTCGAAGCTTGCACTGCAGAGACACACTCTTGTCTGCCAGTCAGTTTCGAAAGCGTGATGTGCAGTATTTCTGTTTCGTCGCCATTTTTCGGGCGTTAATTCGTAGTTGTTTAGTTTTGCTGACTTTGATACCATGACGTTGCGAGGCAGCCAGTTGTCAACTGCTTACAGGCGCCGCCTCATCCAGGGATACCGGCTCTTGCAAGAGTATCTGGCGCTTGAGGGCACCTCTTTACGGCACGTTTCTAGGCGTCGCAGGCTTCTTGATGCCTGCTTAGAAGGTTTCGTCAACTGGGCATACGAGGCCCAAGGACCCCAGTTCCTTAGTGTGGCAAAGCATGGTCTGTTGGTGGTTCAGCTTCTCTATCCTCACCATCGGCGTCGCCTGCCGCGTGCTTGGCAAACGCTGCTTGCTTGGGAGGAGGCCACTGAGGTCCGTGTCCGGCCACCTTTGCCACTTTCTGTTTTGGCTGCGTTTGTAGTGTTCGCTCGTGCACAGGCTTGTGTCTCTGAAGCGGGCCGTCCCGAGTGGCTTCGCTTTGCAGTTGGCCTGGAGCTAGGGTTTTTTGGTTTGCTAAGACCGGGTGAAATCCTACAGTTGCGAGCATGCCACATCTCTCTTCCAGACTCCTGGGTTTTTGCGTCAGCAGGCGCCGTGGTCCGCATTGAAGCGCCCAAAAACCGGCGTCACTTGAGCAGGCATCAGTTTGTCCTCGTTGAGCATGGTCCTTGCTGCCATGCTTTGCAATGCATTCTGCCGGATCTGCGCCCACAAGACCAGTTGTGGCCGTGGGGCCCCCGCCGTTTCCGTTCGATGTTCCGCCAGGTCGCACAGGCTTTAGGTGTTGGCGACTTGGGCTTTACGCCTGCTTCCTTGCGTGCCGGGGGTGCTTCCCACCTGCACGTTATGGGGATGGAAATTTCTAGGCTTAAGTTTCGGGGTCGATGGGCCAGCGAGCGCACTTTAGGTCACTATGTGCAGCTTGCTCTCAGCCGCCAGATTCAGCTAAACTTGTCGCCAGCAGCGAAGCGAAAAATCACTACGCTTCTCCGTCACGGGTGCGAGTTTCTGTTCTTAAGTCTCGGCTCAAGCTCTAGCAGGCCTTCCCCGCGCATTTACTTGCCGGCCTTGCTTTCTGCATATGGATCGCTTGCTAGCCCTCCACGGTTCGAAGAAGGTCCAGCAGGGGCCGCACAAAGGAACCTTGTTCAAAGACTTGTCCTTCGTGCAGCTTGAACGGTTTGCAAAGCGTTGTGCGGAGCCTGAGTTGCGCCTGTTCGCACGTGCTGCTGTCGCCACTCGTGCCTGCTGCCCTGCCGGCCTGTTCAGCCTACCGTGTCTGCAGTGTCGGTTTCGCCTCTTCCGCTGCCAAACCGGGTCTTGTCCGCCTGCGCCTGCTTGCGCCACCTCAGGCTTCTCCTTGCGCAAGTCTCCGGCCTTAAACTTTTCTTGCTGGCAGTCCTTGTCACTGTGCTGTCTCGTCCGTCAGCACACTTCCTTGTAGGGCGTTTCCTAGTGCTCAGCTGCCGCTGGGCTCTGCAACAAACTTTCGGGCTGCTCTTTCAATGCTTAGATGCTATGTTGCTAGAGTTTGTGTACTGGGTTCGGGGTGCTAGCGAACCGCCGCCGGTGGGGCCTTTTGTGGAAGCCCCTTGCCCGGTGTGTTTGGGTTTAGGCCCTTTCAGCCAGGTCCTCCTGAGCACGTTCTCAGTCGTCCTCGGCGCGCTGCTGACGCACTTGAACCAGCGCTTCCAGCTGCCAAACCGTGTTGGGAGGCCCGTCTTGCGTTTGTGACTGCCCACCGCCGACCCCTTCGCCACCGCTGCTTGAGAGGGGTGGGTGGCTAGGCTGCACTGGCACTTGCAGTGCAGTCCTGTGTGCATCTGCCATGCATCTCTCCGGCGGTGCTTTTTGCCAGCCTGTGCCAATCGCCCGCAAAGCAGCGACCGAGGGACGTCATGCACTGCAGCTGCATCTTTTAGGTTTCACTTTCGCAAGCAGCACGGCTTCAGCCTTGCTTGCTCAGAGAACATTCCATGGCCCGAGTTGCATGTCACAAAAGCGCGGGCGGCTGTTTGCTTTCATTGCTTAAACTGGTCAGCGATGACAGCAGTTGAGAAGTAGGACATAGCATCATGTCCGGACGACGAAACCTTCAGGCTCCTTTCCAGCTGAGCCGCCACCTCCCCTCCGCTCGCCTTCCGTTGCTGTGCAATCCGGCTAGGCTGCACTGGCACTTGCAGTGCAGTCCTGTGTGCATCTGCCATGCATCTCTCCGGCGGTGCTTTTTGCCAGCCTGTGCCAATCGCCCGCAAAAACTGGTCAGCGATGACAGCAGTTGAGAAGTAGGACATTTTTTTCGACCTCATCGCAGTCAATGTATCATTTGTCGATATGTTGACAATCGATTGGTTGTATTCTCCGAAGCTATTGCACATGTGCCATGGATGAAGCAGTTGTGCCAGCGTGGCTTTTAGAAGTCCCCTGTTGAGCTTGGAGAAGTTGACTGGTGAGTTTCTTGGTACAGTTTTGCATGCGGAAGAAACAACTTGCATTCATCATACCAGACAAGCACTTTCAGTTTAGGCCCTTAAATTCTGCTGGCAAAAACCACAAGATGGCTGCAGTCAACAGCAGAATTTGTCTTGCATCAAGGTGCTCCTTTCCTGAATCCCAAAGGGATCGGGATGTGCATGAGATCGGTCGACAATATGTCAACTGAGACTACCCAAAGCACAAGATTGCCCTAATTCAGAAGAAGTTTCTCCGACAGCGAAGGGTTCACACGCAGTATGGGACAGTATGTATTTCTGGAATTATTTTTTGTTACCCCTTTCGAGGGGCAACTGTGTGTGTAAAACCCTGTAAATAAGGGAACCTATCCATGCCGCAGGAAAAAAACAGGGGCCACTTGGGACATGAAGAGGTCAGGTGCCAACGAACACACCTCTTCATTGTCTGTGATATCAGTTCTGGACGCAGAACTGACGTACCTGCCGTAAGACCAGGCAAAGCCGAAAACCTGGCATGCCGAGTCATGTGTGTGCATGTGGAGATAACCAAGACTGACCGAAGAAGTGAAGCCGGGAACAAGAGCAACAAGTAGGCTACGATTGTACGAATACGTGCTAACTCATGTCTGGCTTCGGACACAGGAAGCCGCCGACCGCTTCGGTTGCGGCTTGAAGCACGCTCTTAGGTATGGTTAACTGGGTGCGACATCGGTTTGATAGATGGATCTGCATTGGCCTAGGGTCGGAAGAGGTCAAGAAGCGATTGTAGCTTGATTGCTGCTTCGCCAGGTCAGGTCTTGGTGATCATCACACTTGCAGTTTTTTCGAACCTGAGCACAGCATTGCATGGAAAAATTGACATCATTGAAGGCTCTTCGCTGCTGCCAGCCTGACCCTTCCGATTCGGCGAGGTTCTTCAGGGGGGCGCATCGAGCGGAGATTGGCATAGCAATATGCTAACTCTTTTGAGTTTAGTCGGCGTCTGGTCGTGTGCAGCGGAATCAATTCTTCGTGCAGGATGATCTGCAGAAGCCATAAGTTTTGTTAGAAACTGTCAGTCCATGCAATGCGTCAGGTCTGGATGTCGGTGCTCGGGGACACAGATATCGGCTGGTGCACAGGTAAGTGTCTACCGACGAATCGGAGGTCTCCGGTGCAAGGTTTCGATCTTCAGTGCCACTTCAGAAGTTTTCGGCGCAGCAACGCCCCCGAACATGTCTTTCGAGTTCGAGGCAGGCGCTGGCGGCGTCTCGGAGCCCCTTCGCGAGGTTTGCAGGAGCGATGTGGGCAAGCGCCGTAAGGCCCTTATGGACCCAATCGAGCGCAGTTGTGAAAGGTCCCTGATCGCAGTGGAAACGTCCAGGGCCATGGCTCGGACCTTAAGGCAAGGGACAAAGGGGCCAGTCACGCAGACAGTGCCAGCTTTCGCTCTTGGCTGTAGGAACCGCGGCCGCGAGACGTGGTGTGAGGACCTGGCGGTCACAGCAGCCGCCATGCTCTTAGACTTAGACCTGGCACGTCCAGAGGTCACACAGGTCACACCCCAGCTTCGTGTTTGGCTCTCGACTGCGCCTGCAGCCAAAAGATTCCGGACCGCGAGCCGCAAAGTGAACTGCAAAATCCGACTGCATCGACCATCGTCGACCGATGCAAATTAAGCTGCAGCCTGTCTCGAGTGCAGCCGCAGAACCAGTCCAGTGGTTAAAACGCAATCTCGAAATTTCGAAACCAAGATGTGTCCTGCTAACGAATGTGACAGTGACAAGCCGGCGCGCCGCCGGGCCGTGTCCGGAGGAACGTCCGAAGGAAAGGATTCAAAACTTAGTGAGGCCAGATAAAACTCGACCAATTTCACTGCAAGCGAGGCACGGCAAGCCCAGGGCGGCGCCCCCAGAGGGCTGGAACGTACTCACAGAGTGCTGATGGACCGCCCTGATCGGGAAGTTGTGAAGAGCTTAGCTGTGAAGGCAAGGATAGGATCCGGGCAGTGTCACACTAGACGGCCTGTGGCCTTATTTGTCTGGGGCCGGAGGATGCGGGCGAGGGTCGAGTTGAAGAGGAGCAGCATTGCTGTTCCCTTCACATGCTGTTAAGGGGAGGAGTTCCAGCTGGTGGCTCTGCTCAATGTCCTTGACCGCTGTGCAAAGCCGAGGCGCGCTAAAAAGATACTTGCAGTTCCTGGTCCTTCCTGTGCATGTTCGCTGCACTGTATTTTTGTAATACTACTATCAGGCTACGATCGTCAACAATTAGTCGATGTCCAAGTTTCTATGACCTCCCAGTCTTGATACATCATTTTCAGAAGCTGCGGGGTTCGGAATCCATGCTGTTTGCACGAGCTCAGCCACGACCTGCTGTGAGGAGAGCACTCTTCTGATCTGCTTCATGCCTGGCCTGAGTCTTTGCGAGCCAACACTCACAGAAGTTCATAGCTTGGACAAGTTGAAAGCCCTTGACTGATGGTAGCGACTTGGAAGGAGCCTCTTAGCAGCTTCCCGACTACTCATGCCCAGAGGGTCGTGGCCGCAGCCTCATGATTTTTTCGAGATCGCATACTGTTCATACTGACAGTCGACAAACATGAACTCTTGTGTTGAGCGGCCTTCGCCTGCATACTTGTTGGTTCAGTGCTCAGGCCGCGTTGCTGTGTTAAAACTACGAGGCTGTACAAGCTGCATCATCCTATACCAGCCGGACAGAGCTTCGACATTTCTGAGACGTAGGTGCAGCTTGATGAACCGAAGGCTTTTGCTTGCCACGCCACTGCCATTCCATGGCGCCTTCTACGGTTGGAGGTTGGTGTCATGCGCGTTGCACAAGATCTTACTGTAGCCTTCTGTCGGTGACAAACATGCAATGTCCCGAAGGCAGCGAAATCTGCTTTCCAATTCTCTGCAAGCGCGAGGACAGCTTGGACCGGATGGCAGGTGGAGAATTTGGCTCTCGGTGCAGAGGTGCGGCCTGTAAATGGAAGGTTGGACTTGATTTGGGGACCAGTTTCGAAAATTAGGGTGAAAGCTTAAGATCTTCTCGAAGCGCTTTGAAGCGAAAGAAGCGGCCCAGGCTTCCTGGGCAGGCCGGGCCAAGATGGCACGGGGAGCGGCCAAGAGGGCTTCGGTTTGAGCGAACTTTGGCACTTTGGACAGATGAGTCTGAGTGAGCCTCTGCAGCGCTGCTAGTCGCCTAGTCGCCATGCGGAAGAGTGATAAAACCTGCTGAAATTTTTTCGTTTTGTATTGACCAGGCAATATCAGCTCCAAGTGTTTACAAAAAGATACGAAGTCTGTCGATACCGTTTTCGGGGATGACAAAAGTGAAATCGCAGGTCAGGCACAGCGACTGATCCAAGAGGTGCTGCCGCAAGAAGGCTGGTGTCCACTACTGGACAACCTGGTACATGATGTTAGGAGATATTGCGAGGGTGAGTGCATTTGGTTTCAGGCACAGGTGTGGAGGAGGGCAGATGAAGCGATGGTTTCCATAGTTTGCGACCATCACGTCCTCTGTATGTAACCAGTTTTGTCGCAGCATCTGCACCAACTGCCTGTGGTTGGCATGGAGGCTTCGAGGCTGTCGTGGTTTCACGACTTCCATACCTGTGTGGCGGAGATGCCTGGGGCCTGGGGTGCTCACCCAGACCTTGCCAATTCGATCGATGCATTCTCCGTCGTCACGCGGACGCGCCCGTGAGGCCTTCGTATCATTCTCCGAGCTGGATGACCTGATTGTTCTGGCCAGGAGAATGTAATTCCGGCCAGAAAACAAGCGCAGGAGCACGCCTTCGAAGCAGGAAGTTGTGAAACTTCTCTTTCCGCACGTCACATTTGGGCTGATGAGGTTCGAAAGCATTTCGAATCGGATTAGCAGCACACCAAGAAGCTTCCTGGAGTCCTACTGATGCTCGCTTGTCCAAGACGATGCGGATTGGTTTTAACATTCCCATAGGTAGAAGCAAACAACTTGTACATGTCCACAGCTTGACCTGCTGAGGAATCTGTTCTGCTCAGGCATTTTCATGCCGTACAAGTACACGTCCTGGCCCGTGCCATGAATCGCCCCTCGCTCCGGGCGGCCGCAGCGTTGGCTTCGAAGTCTTCGATAATGAAGCACCTTCACACCAGTGCTAGACATGACGCAGACACGGCTGCGCACCTGTAAGGAGTCTTCCGTCTTACTCACTCGCAATTATGAGTGATTTACTGGAGAATTCCCCAAAGGTGCAGTCTGCATCAGCGGCGATCAGCCTAGCTTAATCCTTGGCAGTCCATGCGTCCTCATCCTGAGCAGCATTTCGCGGCAGCCATGCCGTCGCCAGGGATCTTAGGCCGGCGCGATTTGCCCGTTAGTTTCATGAACGTCTCGGATGCTCCGCAGGAGGCTACGACCCTCAGCTTGGAGGCGCAGCATCTGTTCTGATTGCAGCACCACTTCTGCGTCGTGTATGCGGTTGCTCCAGTTCACCCCGATAATGTGACACAGTGATGCCGGCAGTATTCTTGCTACCAGTAGTGTTTGTACGCGACGAGTATTAGGATGTTAGCAACCTTCTCAATGTTCGCAATGATGAGATGCTTTTGTCAGCTTTGGGTCGCTGCTGCAGTCCCAATGTAGACACTCCAAAACGAAACCCGTGGGATGCTGGTTAAGGATGGTTAATCAAGGGTTTAGGAAATACGCCGATCCCACCCAACCCTCCAAGAAAGACTTGAAGCCTCGAGTCGAGTAGGATCACAGCACCGCTAGAGAAGAAGACCTTGCCGGCGGGAATGACGTTGTGCATGTCACATGGAGCATCTGGTGCTGCCTGCATGAAAAAGTCGTGGAGAATCAGACCTGTGCTTGACACCCTGGCAGAGTTGTCGATTGTTGGAACATGGGATGTTGATGGAATGCAGGCTACACCCACCAGATCAACGTCGATGCCTAAGAGAGGGCCGATAGGGCCGCACGGCTTGCCTCTGGGGCGCTGGCCCGATGCGTCCGAGGCGGTGACGGCTCCGAGCCTGGGAGTGCCAGGTGTCACAGGCCTTCAGGCTCCGCAGGCGCCGAGTTGCTTGAAGGGGACTTTAGGAGAGCTGATCAGCTCTGCAAGCAACGCTTCGTTTGAGATCGGAACGTCTGGCCCTGCGCAATACTCCTAAGCACAAACGCCTTCTGCCCTGAGAGAGGGCCTCCAGATGCCTGCGCCTTTGCCAATGGCTTCGCATCTTGCCGCTCGGAGCTGTATCCAGGATCCACGGTGGCCGTGGTAGGATGGCCAGGCTGCGGAAGAATCCACCGTCGCACCTAAGTTTTGCGCTGGGAAATCGGCCTCTTCATCATGCGTTCTGCTGATGTGCCGGAGCCAAGCGACTTCCACCAAGGCGGTACCCTCCCTGGATGTCAGCCTGGATCCTGCATCCCCAGAGCAGCTGCAGCGTGGCTACGAGTCAAAAGATTGCTATGGGGTCGTGTTGGAAAGATATCGGATCGGCTTGTTTTGTGATATCAATGATGAACAGCCCGTGGAAGAAGTGCAAGGTCATGACACGGAATCCTGTTTACTCTTGCTACAACCTTGTTTCTTCAAGAAGATAACGACACTACGGGTCACGGTCTTTCAGCAGCCTGCATGCATCTAGCCGCTGGGCTAGGACGTGTCTTGCAACGTGACCCTGCAGAGTTGAAACATGATAGCAATCACCGTTTTGGATGCTCCTTGCTCGGGAGTTCTGTCAGTTGCCCTCCCAGGAATGAGCTTGCAGCCAAAGGGAAGCAGCTGGAGGCCAGAGCTCCCAACCTCCATGCAAAGTGGCTTCTGCCATGAGGGCTCTTACACAGCTTTTAGATTTCGGACTTGCTATGAGTTTCTCTTCATGCACAACCATCTGCACATTGACGAAGAAAGGCCTTGCAGAACTACTACGCCTCTTTGCAGCAGACGCTGCAAGCTGAGCGTGAGCACGCTGGAGACCCGGCCGTGGTATTGTCGAAAGAGCTTCAGGCACCGGCAGCAAACTACGAAAGCCTGTCAAGAGCATGGGCATTCTTCTCGTAAATCCAATCTGCATGTGCAAAGCGGAATGCACGAGTTTCAGCATGTTGTATTGCATTCCTGCGAAAGATCTATTCATTGCGACGGCAAGGGGGAATATTAGAGTCGTCCGTGCCACTCGCGCCACTCGCCGCTCCCGTCGTTGGCACTGCTGGCGCCGTTCGCGCCGCCCGCGCCACTCGCGCCATGCGCACACTCGCACCAGCTACCAGCTACTTAGGCAACAAGAACAAGTGGAACCGGCAAGGCGCAGGGCGAGTGGAGTGGAACGATTGGAACAGACTGATTCATTCGCACCCCCCAGGGGCGAGGAATTGAAGTCGTCTGCACCACTCGCGCCACTCGCTACACGCGCTGTAGGCGAAAGGAACAAAGTGGAATGGGTAACGTACAGGGCAAGTGGAGCGAGTGGAACGAGTGGAACAGACGGATTAGCCCCACGCCGACGCTCTCGTTTTATGCGGCTTTGGTGCACAGCACCGCAGATCGAGTTTCATCGAACCTCGGCTCAAAGCATACTTTTGGAGATCTTCATTTATCGAACTGAGGCGTCCGGCTCCTGCGACACGGTGTTGATGAAGCTACGCGAGGAGGTGAGAAATTGGGGACTGGGGTTGCTTGAATGCTCTTGCTCGCAGTTTTGAGAGGTTTCCAAGTCAGCCAGTCGCAACCATCCCAGGAGTCTCAATGAGTCTCAACTGCATTCGTTCGCCAAACTTGACATCACCGTGCACTCCATGATGTTACCACGAGAACGACAGCAGAACTTCTGCCGCAACACAGTCCATTGTGATCGTGGTGCTTCGGCACGAAAGACTTTTCTGATTCTCTGCTATGCCCATGCGGATATGTTATTGCGGGGCTCTGCAATTGAGCTTCCACTACGCACAGGTGGCAGGCCTATCGCCGAGCCTGGTGGCCTTATCTGCTCGATGCTCGGAGGGATCGGAGGGTCTTCGCTGTCGAGGGCTGAGTTCTTAAAGACTTTCTCCGTTGAAGACACGCAGGGCCCGGCCAAACTGCCGTAGCTTCCCTCTACCGAAACAAGTTAGAGAGCTGAAAGACTCCGCAGGAGAACGTGATGCAGTCCAGTCAGCTGGCACAGGACATTCACAGGCGCCGACCCCTCGCCTCGCAAATGAGAGGGGGTGTTTTACGACTTTCTGGGATTTTTGATGTTCTGCTGAGGGCCGCCTTTTCACCAAAAGGCATGACCACCCCATCCCATCTGTGGGCCACCATGGGCTTGAAGTGGTTCGAAGCGTCGAGCCGTCGAGCACCGGAGCGCCTCTTGAGGTGGTTTGTGGCGAATGGTCCTCGAATACGTGGATACCAGGCATGTGATTTGACTTTCAATCTGTGTGTCTCATCTACCTACCGCTATCTCTATTTCCTGCGTTTAGCCATGGTACGCGGATGCTCACCTGAAGCTGAGAATGCTTGTTCGATTCCTTTTCGGGCTCTTTCCACCCCAAATTCTGCAGCTGGACAGGCAGAGACTTTAAGAATCGTCTGCTAAACCATATACTAGACACGAGGTTGCAGAAAGGCTTGCCTGTAAACTTGCTGTGAACTCCAGAAAGTTGCGAGGAGTCAACGGACCCGAGCGGCTGGCTCGCAGAAGACACGAAGGAGCTGCTTCAGAAGGCAGAAGTATGCATGGTATTCCCCACATGAAGTTTGCCCAAACCTGTCAGCCCCGAAGGTGGACTCTCTTGGACTTCGGTGGAAGCAGCTGCAGGCCTGCATACTCTTGCTTAAGCACTCCTCAGCCTGGGCTTGCGCTTCTGCTAGACGGTGGCCTTCAGCGAGCTCTCGCCTAGTCGCGTCGTGGAGGTCGGGCCGCTTGTGCGAGCTTTCCACCGCTTCGTCGAAGCTTCTGTCTTTCAAAGGGCTTAGGGCGGTCTGGTCGAAGGCAGTTGAGTTTGCTTAGAGGCCCATCAGGCCGATGTCTGGTTTGTGAGGGCGAAGACGGTCGATGACATTTGACCTAGACTCAATCATCTTGAAGAAGTGTGCCTGTCCCTCTGTCTGCTTGCGTCTTCTTGTCTCAGCAGGTTTCCACAACTGCAACTGCCTCATCAAGCCCCTTGGAGGCAAAGCAGGTTCTTGCTACACGCATGGGCCGTATCCGTTGGCCCTGTCATGCCCTGTCCCCGTTACGATAGGCCCCATCTCTGAGCTACTCGTAAGGATAATCCCCAGCCATGACGCCAGTTCAAGGCTTAGGGCCGAGGGTTTAGGATGGCGTGGGTCTCCCGTACATGTAAAGCCTGACAAATCCTAAAGCCCACATTGCGTGGTATTTGCGTAGGAGTCCCTAGAATGTTAAGTGCTTCTCCACGTGATTCCGAAAGTCATGAGAGAAGCAACCCCTTCACTGAGGTGTGGACATGGTCATAGAGTTACATAATTCTTAAACCCGCCTCTTCGTTCAGTGATGGCGGTTCGTCGCATCTGTGCAATGCGGCTCACTAAGCGATGCCGGTTGATCACGTTTCTTAAGCCCACCCCCTCGTTCGGCAATGACAGCTGACCACATTCCTTAGATCGCCCTCCTCAGGAGGCGATACTGCCTGATCATATTTGCTTGCCCCCCCCCTCCACGATGGCCGGTTCTCGCTTTTCTTAAACGATCACATTTCTTACACTGGGCCCCTCAGAAGGCGATGGCTGTTGGCCACATTGCTTAAACTCATCTCCTCATCCATTCGCGGATGAAAGCTGATCACGTCTCTCTAACCGGCCCCTCTTTAAGGCTACGAGAGTTGATCATCGTTCTTCAACCCGCCGTCATTACGCGTCGGCGGTTTGTCAAAGTTGTTAACCCCTCCACCATTACGCGACGGCCACCGGCTCCTTCATTACACGAGGGTGGCTGATCACAGGTCGTAAGCTCGTCCACTCATTAGGCCATGCCGGTTGATCACCTTTGTTGAGCCTGCCCTCTCATTGGACGATGGCAGTCATTTCTTCCACCGGACCCCTCACTAAGGCGATGGCAGTACATTTCTTGTACCGGCCCCTCATCAAGGCCATGGCAGTTGATCACATTTCTTACACAAGGCCCTTCATGAAGCCGATGACTTTGGATCACATCATTTCTTAACACCGCGCCTCAGTTGGCTTGGTGGACCACACCAGCTCCTAAACCCACCCCCTCATGAGGCGACAGCGGTTGAGCATATGTCGTAAACCGTACAGGCGATGATCAGCAGGCCTAATCATTGGACGATGGCAGCTACTCAAGACTGTTGCTGGTCTCCTGACTGCGGCGATGTCAGTTGATCAACTTCTTGAACCCCGCCTCCTCGTTAGGTGATGGCAGCTGATCGCACCTGCCCGTTGAATATATTTCTAGGACCCCGCCTCCTCATCAGGCGATAGCAGTTGATGGCATTTCTTGCGTGCGCCCCTTCGCCAGGCGGTGGCTGTTGGTCACAGTTTTTCAACCCGCCCCCCTCATCAGGTGATGACGAGTGCCAATGTTTTTTATCATCCACCCCGCTCCTTCGCCCACAGCGAACAAGTAAGCAACGCCGTACGAAGCATTCCGTGAGCACATAGACCCGTATCGATCGGAAAAGGATAGTGCACCCAGGGGTCCAAACCCGAGTCCTAGACCCTCCTACCGATAGGCGTCTGTGGCCCTAGGGGCAGGTTGGGGTAGGGGATAGACCCGTATCGGACAGGGGTCCGTTTCTTTTACATAGATGGATACTTGTCAGACTCTTACTAATCCTGGGACAAGGCAAGGATTGTCGCAGCTGCGAAGCTGCAACGTCAGTATCAAGATCGTCATTATTCGCTTACTGCAGGTTGCAACAGTGCCGCTCTTCCAAGAGGCATGACACGGTGAACCATCGACCTTCTCAAGTCTGTCAAGACTGTTCCGCCAAAGCCCAGGGTTCTGCCCCTCCGGCCATGCGATGTCCGTATTCACGGCCGCCAAGGCACGTGTGGCGTGTGGCCGGTTGCCAGCAGGTGGTCTAGCGATTGATTCACTTGTAAGGCTTGAGAGTCATTGGCTGGACTGTGTTCTACTTTCTGTTTGTGCTTGTATTTCGCGGGCTATTACGTGCTCTATTTTTGCTTTATGTTGTCTTCTTGTAATTCTGTTTCGGTGTCTAATGGATCCGAGTATCTTTCACTCCAACGTGTGTTCCAACAGTCACTGTTCTGTTGGCTAGGTATCCTATACCTATGTGTGTATAATATAACTTTTGTGTTCGCATGATTGCACATTCCTTGTGTCTTTAATTTCATGATACAGTAGCTCTTTCCTGTAATGATTCGTCTCTGAGTCGGCTAGCATGAGCTCCAGTTTGGGTTTGTTCTTCGGGATTATGCTCACTTCCACTGCATCCATTCCCAATACCAATGCAGCGGGCGGTTTGTATGAGTCTTGAGTACGATGGCTACGGAGATTTAAGGAGTTGCAGGGCCTGGTGCGGCTTGTCGGGACCCTTTTGCAGGACGGTGCTACCTGCCAGATCTGCGGCGCCCTGCACGCGCCTGGCACTTCGGCAATGAGTGCTGTAGTGAGTAGTGTCGCGGAAGAGTGCGTGGTCCGATTCGGCTCAAGCGAAGGCCATGCCAGCCCTACATCAATAATAGGCAAGCGCGGCCCGTTCGTGTAAACGGAATCTTTCTGACAGTGTTAGAAGACTCTCAGGCAGCGAGGTTTGCATCGAACGCCGCTTGCAGACGCACTCCCAGCTCGTGTGCCGCCGTCTGCTGCAGCTGAGGCAACGCAATGTGTAAGAGGTATGATGTGTTTCATCCACCTCATTCTTCAACCGTGTTGTCAATCGAATCGCTTCGTGTCGGAAACTGCGTTGCAATCTACTACTACAGTCCAAGGCAGCGTGCTGATGAGATGCTTGGGGCCAAGCTTGCCAGAGTTGATTCTTCTCCCTTTCGATGCAGGGATTGCGGGTTTTGGATGGTTTTGGGTACTGGAGGCAAGAATGGATGTGGAAGATGTGCGCTGAAGCATTGTAACATGCTGTCACGGTGAGGCCTCACCTGCTCTCCCCAGGTGATCTGTGCGGGCACGAGGCCTGCATGGGCTGCACCGCAAAGGCGGCAGACCCCCAGGCCTCCAGAATCCTCCAGAATCCAGAATCGGCGGCAGAAGTGCTGAGCTTCGGCTCCGCTCGGGCGCAGGTTAGCGCGAGCCCTCTGCCGGCGCGTGCCCAACTCGGATGGACTGGAAGTGAGGGGCTTCGATGCACTTGTTGGAAGAGACAGTGGACGCCACCGCAGTCTAGGGTGCGCAGCGCAGAAACCTCTGCCTTTGCCGTTCCACTTGGCTTGAGGCGACCGGCCAAAGCAGCCGGAGACCATCCCGGAGGCAATTTCCGGTGACAGCGGTGATCGCAAGCGACTTTCTTTGGCCCCAGGACGTGCCCGCGTCGGTGGACTGCGGCACGCCAGTTGGCACGCCCACGGCGGAGCCTTCGGAGACGGGCGAGGGCCAGGGCGGCCAGGGCGGCCTGGGCCAGCCCGGGCCCCGGAGGCTCGGCCTGTTCGAAGCGGAAGCCGACAGAGTCCTGATTCTGATTGTTGTGTTGCAGGGCAGGGGGAGAGCAGGGCGTTCTTTCGGCCTTTTGCACGTGCCCAGGCCACAGTTCACCAGCTTCCACATCAGAAGATGAGTCAAAGCGAAGGTAAAACCGCAAGGGCATGTGCGTGCACGCTCGTTAAGTATCCGGCATGGTGGTGCCTGTCGCATTTCCAGGCTTTGACGTAATGACCAGTGCAGTAATCTAGACTCCACTTTTCGGCTTCGGATGTTCTGGACTGAGCCATGGGATCCGTCGGACTCGGACCTGATGCAGGAGACTAGTACAGTGATGCTGTGCTCCTTTTGTCTCCAAGATATCTCGCGCAACATGATGCCTGCATATAGCTGTAATCGGCTCAAGCATGACCTTTCTCACCAGAAGAGTCGAGTCCATCGCGGCCATCAGCCCAAACCCAATGTGTGCGGCATGGCTTCCGAGAAGGCACGGGCAGAAGGGCCAAGTTGCACGTGGTAGGGCCCCGCGGGCCCAGTGCCCATTCCAGGAGGAGTTCTTCCTCACCATTGGCCCCGGCGGGCCGGTCGGGCGCTAAGTGGTCTTTGGTGTTGCCCTGTTGAAACGGATTTGCGATGCGCAGAGGCCATGCACCGCCTGGTCCATGAGGCGCATGTTCGTTTCAATGTCAGTGAGATCAACACCTCAGGTTTGTCATGTTCGAGGTTCGGTTTGCAGAAGTCGAAGCTGTGTGCAAAAGCTTCTGGGGTGTATATAAAACGATCAAGCCAGGGGCACAAATCACGCAGCTCTTTTCAGCATGCGATCTTTACCGAAACTAGTTTCGCCGTCGAGCGGCTTGTTCAATCGGATTCGGTGCTGTACAGCTGCCATATGCAAGCGCATGTCACGAGGCGCATTCGAACTTCGGCTCTGTTTTGAAGTTAAAACAGCTTCGTATACTGTTCGCTTCCTGTTACGAACCCCCCCTCCAAGGATGTGAGCCCCTACAATAAGAGTCCCCCGCGACCTCAGCAGGCTTAAAGCCTGCCACGCCCCAGAAGCCTTCCACTGTGACACACTGAAGCACCCTTCCCCCTTGCACCTTTCCAGGAGTTGGGACTCCTCAGTGCGGTTGCCGTGGAGCGTTTTGGGCAGGCGGCAAGTGTATGTCATGATTATTGCACTCAGACATCGGCCAGTGTTCGGAAGCAACTTCGGACAGAACCACAGCCGAGGGCAAATACTGCACGACCCTGGTGCAGGCGCGCTTCTTCTTTTCGGCTCCACTGGAGCCTGTGCAGCGCTTCTTCAGGCCGTTCTGACGCAGAAGAGGTTGTACATCCCACTTCCTAGCACTATGCTCACAAAAAGATGCCTGCATCTCGATGTTTCTGAAATCCTGAAGACTGATTGCCAGCCTCCGTGCGCCGGAGAAGCTCTATGCTCTCGCTCTGCGTTTCGAGAGTGCCTCGCTGCAGTCCCTTGGATTCCGATTTAGACCTGGGACGCGTGGCCAGCACGTGGGCTGTTCGGACCAGGCAGCACATTAACAAGTACTAACGAGTAATTGCAGACTCTGCCTTGTGTTATTCTCAGTGCAGGTGTGGTCCGTAGTTGCGTGTGCCCATACCCCTACCCCGTGCTCCCAGCAGTACTTTAGATTTCCATAGCTTCGAGTGTGGATGCATCAGCCGACACTTGTCTCAAAAATCGCAGCACGTTTCGCCATGCAAGCATGGTTGATAGCCGTGCCTAACATCTGCAAATCATGTAGGAACAACACACCAAAGCCACTCAGCAACCAGCACTTCCGGCAAAGAGGGAACAAAGACGGCGAATCCTTCAGTCAGTGCACTGGTTCTGTTGCTTTTCCCTCGCGCCGACTGGACAAATGCAAAACCCGTGCTCGAGCGAGATGCCCATGGCTCAAGAAGAGCCCTAAGCAAGCGACCGAAGCACAAGATTTCTGGTCCACCGATCCATGCCAGGGTCCGAAAGGGTCGAGCCAGGTACAACCGTTCGTTTTGCGAAACACCCGGGTCGGAGTGGGCTCATTGAATCACGCGACTCGCCTCATCGATGGAGTGTTTAAGCACCCCGAGAGGCGAGGAGAGGCCGTTCCGATCTCCAAGTGGCTCAGGTGGCCTCCGGAGAAGGAGGCTGCGGAGTCGGCGTTGGCCCAACTCGTTGCAGCTGCGGACTGGCCCAAGGTGCCCCCGACCGCATGTCGATAGAAGGGACATGTCCACTGCATGTGCGAACTCTTCTGCAGAGTTCGCCGATCTCTTACGGAAAAGTCACTGCAGGCTTTGCGGGTTTGGCGTCGCTTCTCGCCGCACCGCGAGGCCAGTGCACAGTATGGCTGTGCCATTTGGACCGGTGTGCGCGTGGTCTGCTTGAGTTTTCAATAGCTTGTCTCAGCTCGATGTTTGCTACATGCAGTTCCCATGCTCCTTAAGAAATCTACTGCTACCACTGCTTGCTTGAATGACCTTGAGTATTCTGCTTTGCTGCGATGTTCCTTCCAAGTACGCCGTGGCTTGTCTATTCTTCAACATATCAGTTCAGCTGTATGTCTGTGATGTCTGCAGTGCATGTTGTAATCCTTTCTGTCGCTCCATACTCTGTGTTGCTGTGCTTTGTTGCACTATGTGCAACTCTCGGGCATGCTGGCATGTGTGATGCACTTTGCTGCAATCTTTCGTGTTGCATTCGCGTCTGATGTGGTTTGCTTCTTTCCATTGCTTGCATGTGTTGGCATCTGCTTGTTTTTGACGGTGTTGCCGTTGATTATATGATTTCACACAGGCGCGTGTAGTACTGCATCGTACGTGCCCAGTGCCATACTGTGCTACTTAGTCTCTTATCTTGGCTAATACCATGTTGCTGCCTTGATACGGATCGTGCATTTCTTTGTAGTCAGCCGTCTGTTTTTTCTTTGCATTGCGCTAGTTTGTGTGTTGTGCTAGAACTGCTTTGTGTTTGGTAGGCACTGGGTGAGCAGTCCTGAGCAGTCTTCATTGCAAGCGAAGCTGAAACGAAATGCATGTGCCATTTCGGTTCAAGGCCTTGACCCAAAACGGCTTAGAGCTTTTGAATTGTTTCGCAGAAGGGACCTGCTACCATGCAATATGCCGTTGCGCGTCTGGCTGTGCACACCAACGAGCAGGTGCTTCACCACCCGTCAGCAATGCTCGATTTTCGGGCCAGGTTGCGCGTGCTGGGGAGCAGCTATGAAGCAGCTTTGATTTGGGGCTCAGTGCTGGAGATCCAGCATGTTCCACTCTTCGCCGAGGTTCTTGACGCCTTGCCGCCAGGTGTACCGTGCCCTCTATGGCCCAGGATTGCATCCGTTGCCGGGAGGGTCGGGGAGGATACCAGTTTCCGTTTGTTGGCACAGGCCGGTGGTCGTAGAGCCGGGCACCTCTCCGAGGACCGCATGGGAGCAGTGCCACGGTGATCGTGAGACCTTGCCAGGTTTGGAGGTTCAGGCTGCGACGGCATGCTCGGGGCATTATCCCAGAGCAGTTGTGGGGGCTGTGGCGCTCGTGGCACCAAGGACAGCGACGATGTGGGAACCAGGGTAGGTACCTTTGCATACGTGCGACCCATCGGACACGTTGGTCCGATACACGGAATTTGTGGTCACCGAGGACCACCTCGAAGAGTTGGCTGGCATACGCTTCTTTGTGACTGCCCGCTCGATTCCCCATGTGAGGCTGATGTCCTGGCAGGCCTGTTGTTTGAGCAGAGGCAGGATCAGGTGCGGCCGCACCGCCCGAAGGCACCCTCTTCTTTTCGCCCTGTTCGTTCGGTTCCCAGGACAGTGCTGCTGAGTGGTGTGTCCATGGGACGGGCGGTACCCGTCCCATTTCAGCAAGAAGCCGTGGTCTTACGGTTTCGACAGCTCTTTCGTGTTGCTTGATTCCAGGGCTTCTGTTTCCCGATGACGAGGGTCAGCCAGGCGCCGTTCGATACGTTTGGGCGCTGGCTTGCGGAGTTCGGAGGCGAGTGGGAGGGAAACGGCAGATGGGCAGCAGCGCCTTCGGCAAAGGAACTCCGAGGGTTGGCGGCGGGTGCGTCGAGCCACCTTTGCTGCCCTTCGGTCTTTCTGTGGACGAACAGCTCCCAATCCTCGACGCCGACCTCATGTTCGCGGCTGACATGCGCACTCAGCACCGAGCAGCTCTGGCCCGCTGCGCCAGCGAGCGGTGGGAGCACTTGCCGAGCTAAAAAGGCGATGGCGCTCGGTAGGCGCGCGGTTGCGCTCGTTCCAGCCCCAGGCTGTCCAGCAAGCCACGCCGCAACGTGACTTGGGTTTGACGGCTTTGCTTCTTGTGCTTATCAGCTGGGGCGATGTGACTTACCCGCATGAGTTCGTCTTTGGGCTCCCCGCGGTTGGCTTCGCCCCTCCTTACCGCATTTTCCCCAGCAGCCAGCCGAATTCATCTCCTTGGAGCAGGCATTGGGCGACTGGTAGGCGCACAGTGCGATGACAGTCCGTCGGCTGAAGCCAGGTCGACTCGACGAGAGCAATCGATGACCGACTTCGAGCAAGGGCTTCGCGCACCACCTCTTGCAATTCAAGCCCTGCAGCTTGAGATGAAAGGCCTACAGTTTCGCGTGATCCCGCGAAGCTTCACCCAGTACAAGAGAGTGACTCCTGGGAGACGGGGGGCGAGGACTGGCCCAATGCTGACCGGCATGCCCCCATGGGTACAGACGAAGCCCGCGCCTGCGTGGTGTGCTCTTGGTGCTGGGCTTCTCTTCGATCTCCCTGTCCATCCTTCAACCACTATTCCAGACTGGTGGAAGCACTGGGGCGCCTCTTGGTCATGGCGTTGGTGTCGCTGTACTTCGACGACACCACGATCGGAGACTGGAGTTCCTCCCGGGTCGGGCCAACGGGCCTTCGGGCAGCTTAACACTATGTTGGGCACCCCGTCTGCAGACTGCAAACGTCAGCTATGTCGTCGACCAATGACTTTTTGGGGCTTTCACGACGTCTCCACAGGCCCTCTCCCACGGTCGGGTCCGTTTTTGACCACGGGCGCGCGTCGTGGAAATGATCGAGACCATGCTCTCCGAAGCCGAGGCCATCAACTGCTTGCATCCGGGGCAGGCCTCCAAGCTTTACGGCATCCTCAACTTCTTCGAACAGGCGTCTATGGCAAGATGGGTGCCGGCAGCCTGTGAGCCATCAAGGAGAGGCAGCACGAGGGCACTGCTTGCATCACCCGGTCGTTGCAGGACAACTTCCGCTACGTTCGGGCCGTCATTCGGGTCAAACCGGAGCGAGAACTGCCCGTGGTGCCGATTCCCTGCGACCGCTTTGTGGCTGCATCAGAGCTTTGTGGCGGACATCCACCCATGGTGGTGCGAAGTCTGGCAGCCTGCGACAGCTTGAGATCTCGATGGTCGCATATGCCCTGCTGAGCCGGCCAAACCGCTTCAGGAACAGGCGCGGTTTCTGGTTTCTCGACAACCTGGCCTCGCTCATGGCCTTGGTCAAGGGGCGCCCAGCTTCTCAGGATTTGGAGCGGTTTGCGCACATGGTGCACATTTTGTTGCTGTGCCTGAACGTGCAGATGTGGTTCGAGTACATTCCCTCTAAGTCCAACTTGGCAGACTCCATGTCCAGACTGGGGTCGGACTTGGGTGGGAGGATCCTTGGCATGTCGGCCAATCTTTTTCGACCGTGTCGGTCTGTTTCCCACGCGTTGTGTGCGGGTTACCACCGTCCGCTCTGCTTACGCTTGCACGGTTTTTTTAATGCTTTGGGACTCAGTGCCCTGGGTGCTCAGGACCGGGAACAGATCCTCGGCCAAGTGAGGAACACTTGTGCCAGGGTTGCGATGTGTCGGGTGGAGCCTGACAGATTCCCAAAGCATATCCTCGTGGCGAGGTTCGTGTATTGCGGTAGCGAGACGACCGGCCGATGTGAAAAAGAGCCGAGCCGAATGCTCTAAGCACGTCTTGCAATGTTATTACGTTACATCAGTCGACATACAATTTACTATTCTCCGTAGGGTCCTGCCGAGGAAGAGCTGCAGGAAGGTCCTTGCCGCTTCTGGCGCATTGCCTTTGCGCACTTCACTTGTGTTCGCTGTTGTGCTTTGCCGCAAGCCCCATTTTCACGCGACAACAGGCACTTCCCCGCAGTTTCCGTGTGACGGGCAAGCGTGCTGGGCAACGAGGGTCTCAGCTTAGTCTGGAGCCCAGAGCTACAGTCCGAATCCTGTGCCGAATTCACGTCAGAGCACTGCGGTTTGCAAGGTTCAAACGGAATAGCTGAGTTCGTCGGCGAGGCAGCGGCGGGCCCTAAACCTTGAAAGTGTTGGCTTTTCTGCGTTGTGTTGGCCTGATTGTTTTCGTCATCTGTAGCCGGTTCTCAGACTCCTCCTACCAAGCAAGACATCCCCAGCAGCAGCTATAGCCGATAGCTGTGTTTTTCCTCAATCGCTCAGTCGCATGCCGGGGCATAGTGACAGGTTTCGCGAACTCCCAACGCATGTTCGGCCTCTCGAGACACAAGCTTCAAGCTCCCGTGGTCCATCCCTTTTAACCTACTACATGCATGCAAAGCGGCAGTTTTCGAAGGCACACGTGTTCCCTGTTGCTGCACGATGCTGCGCGCACATGCGTGGCTTTCTGGGGGGGGCATCTCCATGTCGCTTGTCACCATTGTCGAACGACTCTGTTCTTCGTTGTTGTCCGCTTGAGGCAAGGCTCTCAGGGCTTGTCATCCTACTGCACAAGCAAGCTGAACCCACGGTTTCTACTGTCTGCAGGCCGGTTGTGTTGAGAACAGCCGCCATGCTTGGCTCTCGAGCATCTTCTGCTCAGCTCAAACGTTAGACGAACTGCTGAGGGAAGGGACAGTACGGCGGTGGGATCACTTGGTAAACGTTCGATTGCCTCGAGGCGAATCTGCCTAGTACTACAGCTGCAAGAGTCGTTCGCTCACTTCAAGCAATGTGGCACTGTGAGACGTCCCGGAACTGCCAGGCACTCACGGAGACCATGGGCTGGCAGGTGGACCTGCATGACTACGATTTGGAGGCCCTGTGGAAACTTTGCAGTCTTGCAGTGCCTGGTTCGCCTGGTCTTAGCAACCCTGGCATGTGTTATCGCGTTTCCAGGCATGCTTGGACTGGCCTGCTACCTTCTCTGCGAACTTGGTGTAAACGGAGAAGCGCAAGATGGGCAGGTTGTGGTGCATTTGAATGATGATCATTTGATTGTGGCTCGGCTGCAAGCATCAAGGGCTGACAGAATTTTCGCGTCGTGAGACCACCAGATGTTTCACAATCCTCGTGCTTTGTTTTGAGAATTCACGATTCACGATTGTTTGGATTTGGGCCCCGGTCATTCTTCAGCAACTTCCGCCCGCACATCAGGCCTCTCGACATCTTCCGACATGCGGCCAGTCATTGGCTGCCTAGCTGACCCGGCGTTGCTGTTTCCCCTCGTTTTTCCTTCCCGAGTGCTACCAACGCGTTTTCGGTGCAGTCTGCACAGCAAGTAGACGCCCAGGTTTGCTTGCCGCTTCTGGAACGCGGGGAGGCTCAACAGGTGCCGTCCTCGTCACGAAGACAAGAGAAATACGGTCAGGGCAGTCAGAGAGAGGTGCCAGGAGATAAAGAGGACCGTGAATATCTGATCGTCGGAGGCCTCTTCTGCTGTAGGATTTAGATTTTAGATGTTAGACAGAAATATCTGCGGGGCGCCAAAGGCCACTAATGCACACACCGTGAAAGCGCAATGAGTAGAAGCACAGACGTCGGCGGAGTCACAGAACTCCTAGAGAGTGAAAAGTTGAGATCGATGATCTGATGTGTGAGGCACAGTTTGCGCTGCCGGGTCTTTCTCAGCCGGTCGCATGGGCTATGGCAAGGACACCTTGACAATATACATGGACGCAAGTGTAGACGTTGGACATCCGCCATCCCAAAGCACTCGCCGCAAAGGGAGCGGTTCACAAGCTCGCAGACGTCGAAGCACTCGCCGCATTTCTCCAGTGTGGCATGAAGCAGCTGTGAGTTCCAGCATGGTAGGAGTTGGTGGCACTGCTCCAGATGTTAGGCTGTCTGGGACTTGTGATGGCTTGTGGCTCACCTGCTTCAATTAGGAATTACTCAATCGGTCCTCGCTCTCCAGGAGCGTCGAGCCCTCTCCGGGAGATGTCATTGTCGACCCGTGCCGTGGCGGCAGAGTTTTGAGCTCGCAGCCGTCGCCCTCCGAGGCAGAACTTCAGGTCGGGTCATGGAAAAAGTGCTAAAGCGCGCTGCAAGCAAGGATGTGCGGGTCTGGCATCGTACTCTTCGAGGCGCTGTGTGAATCAAATTGTGCAGGGGTGCAGCAGTACGATCGTTAGAGCTTCTGCAGCACAGGATGTGTTTAGCCTTCGCACGCACCATCAGCCTGTTGATTCTCCAGCAAAAGGCAATTGTCCCGATCCCCACATCGTTGCATCGCGGCATCCGCCAAATCCGGGCTTCGTCGGACCCCCAAGGCGGCGCAGTGCTGGCGGGGCGCGTGTTACCTCGGCTTTGACGTGGATGCATCGCAGCTGGAGCGCTTCCCTACTCTGAAGTCTTCGGCGGGGTTTAGGCACCATGCTGTGATCAGGACTGTCGAAATTTCATGGGCTATGGGGTTGGATAGAACTGCAAGATACCTTGCGACGGCTTTTGCCATCTTGCTCAAGCTGGTCCCCCTGCACGACACCTGCGATGCCGCGTCCTCGGCAAGCTGGGCCGTTGACTTGCGAAGCCTTCTGCTCATGTGCCTGCGGCCTGCTGTTTGTACTGCAGCCAGGCTGTTTCCCTAGTGCTGATAGGTCGTCAACATGGCGACAGCGCTACTACATGGAGCCAGAGGAAAATCGGGTAAAGAAGGCGCGGCTGCATGTCTAGAAGCTGAGGAGCTTTGGATCAAGATTTCAGAGATATGTTGGAACTGCCAGTTCCCGAAGAAGAAGAACGTCCACGTCCTGGCCTCGGGAGTTTGCTGCTGAGCCAGCCACAGCCTGACTCCGAGTCACGCACGAGACACGACGGCTTCCTCACACTCCTATCCGTACACGTGTGCACAGTAGCATCTTTGGCTGCAACTTGCCTTGTCCAGATCCTGGCCGTTTGCCTGGACTACAAGGGAACCGAGCCCTGGCTGCAGTGGTGGTTGAAACTCTCTGCGCGCATTGAACATGCGCTTCTCACTCAGGAATCTCCTCTCAGCTGCATTGTGGATGGCGATCGCATCTGTGAGCTAGCAGCGCAATCGGGCGTCGAGGACATCGTCAAGATGCCCCTCGCCTCCAGGAAAGACAGAAAGCACGGAATGGAGTAGTGACAGCCCTAACTACTGTAAGATATTGCAGGGGGTCGGGGATGTACTGTCCCACAACATTTTCGCCGGGTTCAAAATGTATTTTGGGATCGCATTCCCCTCGCATGCCTCGCTGTACATTTTTGTTCCTTCGACAATACTCACAGAGCGTGTGTCGAAGCGCATAGCAGCCGGGTCACCGAACAGTCAGACTCAAGAACTTCCGGAGCCTCGCAATCAGTTTCCGCGTGCTCCCCCAGCACTCAGTGTATTTCAGCGGGGCCTCCATCTGCACCGCGCTGTGTTTCATTGACACTGCCTGGCCTTGGGCCAAGCTGTGCCAATCACCCCAGCATGATCAATAAGCCCCTGGTCATGGGACTGAAGGTACGACGACGGTTCTACAGAAAGCTTCCCCTCTGTCGAAGAGTTGAAGGCCCAGGCACCACGGAAGGGTGGAGGGTCTTGGGATGTCTTGTGGTCTAGTGGATGTTCTCACGACAAAGCGTCTGAGGTGGCCACGATCTCCGAGCGGTGCAAGCCTGGGCATTACTTCGTCCTGGCGCCGTGGCTGCAGTGGACTCTGCTTGTGCAAATTTCGATTGATGTCGTGTCTTGCGCATCACGCTTGGTCTTAACGTGCCATCCCGATCGCAGTCAGCAGTCTTCGTCTTATTCGTCGTCGTAGTCGAATAGTAGTAGCAGTAGTAGTAGTAGTAGTAGGAGGAGCAGGAGGAGGAGCAGGAGGAGTAGGAGTAGGAGGAGTAGGAGAAGTAGGAGGAGTAGGAGGAGTAGGAGGCGTGAGAGTAGGAGGAGTAGAAGGAGTAGGAGTAGTAGGAGGAATAGGAGGAGTGGGAGGAGTATGAGTAGGAGCAAGAGTACGAGTACGAGTAGGAGCAGGAGCAGGAGTAGCAGAGCAGTAGCAGAAGCAGTAGCGGAATTAGAAGTAGTAGTAGTAGGACGGGGAGGAGGACTTGTCTGAAGTCGTTGGGTGTTCTCCGGCAACATCGCCCTGACGACTGATGCGAGGCTTATTCCGGGCATGGCACCAACCAGGAGAACGAGGAGGAACAGGCCAGGACGGGGCTTGCTTAGTCTGGAAATTCCATCTCCGGCTATCAACACCCAGGCGGCTCATGCTCCGATACCAACACCATCTTAGAGCAGGTCGGTAGAACTTCCCCAAGGCTCATTGGGAAACCCATGCCCGGCAGCTCGTCGCTACAGCACTCTTAGGAGAATCCCCAAGGCCGGCGCTTCAGCATCTTATCGAAAAAAATGGCATACCCTGTTGACCTGTTGCGGGCTTCATGGAGGGTGTACAGCCTGAGGGAGCTATCGCACATACTGATGCCAGGGTGTTGCCGGCATTTGCCCAGCTTGCGTACAATATGTGATGCAGTGGGAAGCCGAACACACCGTCATTCAGAAAGCGACACCAGAAAACATGATGCTGCCAGCACTTGGTCTGCGCTTGCAGCACTCCCGGGTAGCCAGAACACTGTTCAATAGCATGCCGTTTGGTTCCCCGCAAGCCGCCGCGCCCAGAGCGACGGAAAACTCAGCTCATCCGAGACGGACACTGGGGGTGAGCGGGATGGGGCTAGGTACCGGGAGTGAAAGGAGAGCGCCGTGTGACTCAGCGAACGTCTCAGCATGTCATGAGCCTCGATTCGCTTCAAAGCAATTGGCGGTGAGGATGGTCTTGACAGTATCCTCTGCCTCCGCAATCGCGATGGAGAGGTGGAGTTATGTGGACTTGCGGGCTTCAAATTTCAAGGCATTTTTCGGCACCTCCCAGCAAACAGGCATGACTTCTTCAGGTGTGGATATGAGGGTTCGGGGCCCGCTGCTGCAGAATGCAAGCCTTTGCCCAGCAAGCCACCAAGCCAGAATGACGACATGGTCGATGACGATCTGGCGAAGATGATTGCTGAAGCTTTCGCAGCTAGACCCAAGTTTTATGCAGCGCCTGTGTTCAATGTTCGATAGAAGAAGCGTTTGTATCGGTGCAACAGAATGCCACGACTTGGCCCAATGTCTTCATGGCTTGGATCGGATCGCACTACCTTTAGATTGGCCAACACAAGCCCCACGTCGCTGTTGTGCAGACCCCGAATTCAGCAGTGCAGTGCATTAAGGACCCGGGCGTTACGGTCCTCGTCCTGGCAGATGCATGCGCGACCCTCAGATCAGGATCAAGGCCCGTCTTAATGCCTGCCTAACAAGAGCTTCTTCGATGATCCGGATCTGAGGCAACAGTGCAGGCGTTCTTGACTGCGATACACCCGGCATCTGGGGAAAGCGGCACGTGGTGGTCGCTTGTCGAGACAAACATATCTAACAAGGAGCTCCTCCACAGAGAAGCCTTCAGCTTCGCTCAGGCTCTCTCCGGATGCCAAAACGAGCAATGCTCCACAGACACCGGCAATGGAGGCACCAAGAAAAGAGCAAGACAGGAGAGTCCAATCCAATGGGTCAAGGGTCGAGCTTCAAACGAGATGTTTCAGCCATCAGGAATTCGAGCCTTTACATAGACTCGTTTCATGACGTCGCAAGGGGGTTGCCGCAGTGGCACGGCATTCACAAGTGTCTGAGCATTCCTCAGTCTCACGGTTAGCTGCATTCCTATCCCAAGCGTCCGGCTTCATGCACAGGGAAGCACCAAGCCCCACCCCTCACCTCCCTGTGCCTTACATGGGCAGTGCAGCGCTCGGCTGCAAACTTCTCTGAACCAGGTGCAATGACTAATGCCCTCTTGTTTCTTGGCTGAACGAACCATGGCTGCATCTTGGAGGTCCGGTGGAGGATCTGATTGCTGAGGCAAGTGCTTGGCAACAAGAAGATTGCCAAGATGCGGAAGAAAGGAGGTGTTTCCATGCAGTGGCAGTCTAAGTTCACTGTCTCAGGTGCAGACCTGCGCTGTGTCTTGAGGTTTCCACCCCGTCCCTCGAATTCCAAGGTACATCTTCAACCGCATGGTGGAAGCAATGCCTGAAGACGAGGCTGTGCAAGCCAGAAACTACATAACGATTTGCTTGAGCTTCTTAAAGAACTTATCGAAATGCAGAGTCTAGGGTTGAGGGTCGAACTTTCACTTAGGGAAAGCTTCGATTATGTTACTCTGCAAGGAGGAAGACGGAGAAGATGATGAAGAAGAGTACGACGAGGACCCTCCCTCTAGGCTGTGCCAGACCGCTCAACAGTCAAACTATGCAAATCTGGGCTTAGGATTACGGCGATGATGAGGAAGATTACTACGAAGAAGACGAGGCATGAAGGGGGCGGGAGCATACGCACTTGCATGGTCATGCGTGGAAGACCGTGGTTGGGCTCGAAAAGTTGAACTAGCCTTTGTCAAATGGCGTGGCTGCAGACCGCAATTAGCTGCAACATTCTGAGCAGGACGAGGACGTCGACCCGATTAGTGGCTGCTGCCTCGGGAGCTTTCGCCTGTGGTTGTAGGATGTTGTAGGTAATGTGTTAGCTTCTCATCTGTGGAAAATACATCTGCTCAGACAACAAAGTCTGATTCGCAGAAGTACACTCGCAACTACCACTTCTACCCACATGATGAGATGTGGGGGAACTTTCACTCGTGCGGCATCCAAGTATGCAAGCCTGACGCCTGGACTCTAATGAGAGAGAGAGAGAGAGAGAGACAGAGAGAGAGCATAGTCCGACTTCTCCCATCTTTTGTCTGAAAGTCGTACGGTGAGATGCCTGCCACGGCGCAGGTGAAGTCCCTGAGCCGGGTCAGAACATCAACATATCCTGGCCCGGGGGATGCGATCCAACGAAGATCGCTTTCCCGTTTTAGGTTCTGAGCTTCTAAGCTTGGCAAACCCGACGAAGTTTTAGGCCTAGTAGTGGCCGAGTGTTGCTAAAGCAAGTTTAATCTCCGAAAGGAGACATAGCAGACAGTGCAAGTTCACTGAAGCTGCTTCATGCCTTCTTAGGCAGCAGGCACATGGCAGCGAGTTTAGCATTCGCTTTGGGCGAGCAGCTCGTCAGGGATTCTCTGCTTACAGAATGCAGGACGGAAGTCCTCCAGCTTGCTCCTGCAGCCCTTTTTTCGCGAGCCAGCGCGACCGATCGATTTCACTCCATGAGGCAAATGTGTGCGCGATGTGGTTTACTCCAGAGGGGTATCACAGGCGCTAGCCTTCACAAGACATGCTTCTCTGCAATTGACTTCGCCCAACGTCTTTGAGCCGCACTTGAACTGTGCCTGCGGAGAACCCGAGTTGCCTTACATTCCTTGATGTCTCAACCTCAAGCAATGAGATTTCAGGTCTTACCGAGCTTTCGACAGCCCTGGCCCGCGATGATAAGTCCTACGCCCGAAGTATCGCACTTCTGAATGCGATGCGCTTTGCTTGCAGGAGCGCTCCGGCGAGAATCTGGCAATGTTGGCTCCTGAAGTGGCTGCGAAGCTGCAACTTTTGCGCCGGGTTGGAGGTGAAAAGGTTTCCTTGATTCCGGGCTTGAAGGCCCTAGGCATATCAGAGTAGAACGACTGTTCTGCGTGCGTCGCCTTCAGAGAAGCATCCATCCTTAATGAGGTTTGAAGCGAAAGTGTGGAACTGCATCGATCAAGGCCGCGAGCCTTGCTTTTGCGCGCGGCGACGCCCGCCGGCTGCCGCCGGATCCTCTGGTTATTGCGACTGTATGCCTTTTTTTTTAAGTACTCTTATTCGTATTACTACTATTGCTATTGCTGTTTTTGTTGGTACTAAGGGGACTAGTATACATAGTGTGTCTCGTAAGGATTACTAAAGTTTGTAAGTTTAGCATCATCTTTTTTGTCGTCACCTGCCATATGGCATGAGCCTTTGGTGTCGGACGACGTCTTCTGCATGTCAGAGTTTGGAGAGGTTCGACTAGACGTTTTGTTGATGTTTTTTGCATCTTGTACGGTTTCTATTGCTACGATGCTGGCAACTCTGCACGTTCCCTTCGTTTGCTGTCTGGCCACAATCAGTTGAACAGAGATCTCAGCAGAAACACAGGCAAATTCCTGCAAGAGTTGAGCGTACTCTTCAACGAATGCCTGGTTCCATTCCCCTGTAGTTCTGAAAAGTCCGGCAGATGCTCGCAGAACAGAAGTGTGCAAACATATAGAACTGCGCCATACTTTGCCCGTGCTCTGTCGCCGATGCGCTGCAGCTATCTGGCATGCATCTTCTTTTTGGGTCTCGGGTCGTTATGGTCATTAAGCCGCCAGATGACATCTCTTCGTGGCAGCCAGGCCCTTTCGGTGGTGAAGTTGGGTCCGACGGACATGGCCTTCTTTCATCAGACCGGTGCATTGAACAGCCGGGCCAATTACTCCATCAAAAGTGTTCGAGCAAACTTACCGCGTGCCCCGTACTACTTGTTAAGCGACGGTGGACCTGATTTTTCAGAGGCTGCTGGCGAGCTCAATGTTTCTCCTTTTCGTGCTGAAGGCATGCATTTATCACAGTCTTTCAATCCGAACTTTACCTGCCACGGGCACCTGCAAAGAATTGCGCAGGCTGCTAGATGGGCCTCCCAGCATGGGGCGGCCTACCTCATGATATGGGAGGATGACACAAGGATGTTGAAGCCGCTGCAGTCGATTCCCGACGTGGATCTCATCACAATGGGCAACATTGACAACAAGCACGTAGGATTTTGGAACAATGATATACGAGAGAAGTCGATGAAGACACCCACTGAGAAGTTGGCACCAGCTGACCAAAGGCGTGTCAAGCAGCAAGACAAATACGCAGCTCGGAGAGGATACTCTGCGGGGCCTGGGAGCATACTCAGAATCGATCCTTTCTTGAAGGCAGTCGATACCACGCCCGCGACCGACTTGCAGGACATGTATACGTACACTGAGCAGGACATGTGCTGGGAAGATTTCGCTATCGGCAACAATCTGAGCATAAGGCGAAATCCCGAAGTGCAGCAAGTTACTTGGGCCTTTAATGATGGGGAGTTCGTCGGTCAAACGGCGGAACCTGGCAGAAACCTCAGGTGTCTGGAGTGCTTAGATGCTTGCAAGGTAGATTGTGGCTGTGCGGAGCGCTTCTCGTGGAAGGAGCTTTTTTGGTCTCGCCTTGAGGGGCTGGGGGAGTTCGTCTTGGGTGGACAATTCAACTACCGCACAAGCCTGTTTTGGGGAAGGCCGTGTGGGTCTTGCAAGCCGAATTGCTGGACCCCTTGTTCCGCGACGTGTATGTCCACGTGTCCAGCGGTTGTGCATCCCCAAAAGCGGCCCATCCTGGATTGCACATAGAGAAAAGAAGCGTGCAGATCTCACTCGTGGTGCAGGTATTGAGTAGCTTGCAGCAGAAGCAAGGGATTGGTTTGGTGGGGACTAAGTTATCCAAAATCTTCGAGCGCTGTACGGTTGCAAGGGGCCCTGGTGCTGACTAGCAGCTAGCGGAGATGACTGCTGTTTTGCTACTTCACTGCTGCAGGCTCTCGGGCTCCTCCGTTGATGCTGTGGTCTGCGATATGCCCTTCGGAAAGCAGCGCTTCGGTCGCAAGCTTTCCGTAGCACTTGCGTTGTCGGATGTCCTAGGCGGCAGAAAACGGCAGCTGCAGCGGTGGCCTTGAATCTCCGCTCAGGTACGGCACCGAAGCAGGCCAACACCTGAGTGAAAATGACCCACCACCAGTCTGCTTCCACCTTCGACGTACCAGCTTCTCCGTTTCATCCCAAGCTCTTCCAGCAGAGACTAAGACAACTTGGAGCTGTACCCTGCTGCCGTGGCAGAGTTCTGCCGAGCCGGCTCCCCAAGTTTTGCTAGAAAGCCACACCTCGGCTTTCAGCCGAACCTAGACGGAGGTGCTGCGCCCAAGCGGCAGGGCTGCCCTGCTCACAAACCAGGCGGTGCAGTTTCGGACTCGTGACGCGAACTGAATTGAGACCTTCTGCCTCCCTTCCCCAAGCCAGGCCAATGCTGGACGGCTTGCAGAGGCTCACAGCATGTGAGATCGTTTTGGGTGTCCCTAATGCCATCTTAGTTGAGCACCCCTGAAATCTGAAGAGATCGAAGGAGGATGCCACTTTGGGCAAGGTTGCTTTTTGTGCGTCACTTGTTCTTTTTGGTGGGTGCTGTGCTTCCGGTTTGTCTCAGGGGCTTCAAATTGCCTTCGGAAAAGGCGGCTTTGGCGATGGATTTGCGGTTTCGACCTTGCTCCGGCTGGGTTGAATTGACTCCTTATGGGGCTTTCGAAAGCTTCCGGCTTCCAGTTTAGGGCTTGGGATTGGGTTCGCTCATAAGGTTTGGCGTGAGGGAGGTGAAAACTAACCAAACCCTAAACCGGAAGCCGACGACAACCTAAGTAGGGAACCTAACCCACCCCACTCACCCCAAACCAAAACGGAAAGGCTGGAACAAGATGTGGTTGCACCACAACAAGCAAACAGACACAAGAGCTACCGTACCAGTGTTCATCGGACCCAGCCATCTTGGCCTACAGGCCTTGGCTGCAGGACCTTGGCACGTACTGTGCCGGCGAAAGGTGCTCTTGGGCCACATGGAGGCGCGACAAACCGGAAGCACTTCTGATTGCTCAATGGCCGACGGCGCTAGGCCCTAGGGCCGCTAGGACTGGGAAGGTCAACATTCCCAAAACGGTAGACGCTCTCAGTGATGCTTCGGCTCCGTGGCTTGTTCGCTCCTCTCTACACTGTCCAATATGATGTGCGCAAAAGCAGGCAGTTCTTTTCCTGGCGATGCGTGCCGGCGAAGGCAAGAAAAGTGGGAATGGATGAGTCCAAGCCAGACATGAATGCAACATTCATCTGTGCCAGATGCGCCAGCATGCGAGCAGCTCGAAACTAAGGCACGCAGTTGCTCAGACGATGCATGACTTTCCTGACTCGTGACTCGACGCTGCAGGACTCCATGCGGCTTCCGTGGGAGGACCAGAACGGGCGTCGAACGTGGCTTGCCAGTTTTTGTGTAGCATTGCTGTGAGGATGCGAGCGAAAGCACTCAGTCACGACTTGCCGAGGTGGTCATCCATGAAAGCTTCACTCCGCCAGCCTATGCGAGCAGTTGCGGGCGGCAAGAAGAGCCGGAGGTGAAGGCCACTCTTCAGGCAAGGCCGATGTTTTGAGATTCATGGAAGTTGGCTCCGAGGTCGACCTCTTCGGTCTGTGTGCAACTTCGATCGGATGAAGTCAACGGACAGGGACCCGGACAGGCTCTGCTGGCATGAGGTCATGAGGGTCGTACGCGAAGTGCGCTCCGACCAGAAATGCCCGCTGCTCGCTGCTTGTTGTTTAGCCATCTGGAGCCAAGCCGAGTACCCTTGACGGATAGTGTGTACAGTCATCTCAGCTGCCATGCTTCTCACGTGCGCCTTGGCAGCAACTCTGAGATGGGCCTTTCGGCTTCGGTGGCTTTTGCTGGCTTTTGCTGGCTTTTGGCTGCTTTGAGCTTGAAGCCCAGCCTTTGTTGAAGGTACAGAGACGGAGACGCAGCCGATCCAGAACTCAACGCCCTCCTTCTCGGACTCCGCTCAGGCCCGGGCCGGTGGAGCAGAAGAGACTCCGGACTCCACTTCGGAGCCATGCGGCAACGTCTCTGTTTTCGGATCTTCCGCAGCGCGCTGTCTCTGTGTCTTTGCTGCCGCTCTCGGCTTTGGTTTTGCCGTCAGCGTCTTGCTGCGTTGCCGTCTTTTGCTGTGACACTCATCCGTCGAGATCATGACCGTCCTCGTCATGATCCTCCTCCTCATCTTCTTCTCCGTCACTATCATCATCCCTAACTCCTCGAGCTGAAGAAGAGCACCGAAGCCCGAAGGCTTAGAGACCATTGGACACCAACCCCAATCTCTCAAACGCCTGAGGCCTCAAAAGATCCTCAACTGCAAGACCTCAAATCCTCAAAGCATGAAGACCCCTGCAACTAAACATCCAGAGCATCGCGCACACTCGCAGTGTTCCACGTCACTGTGCAACACTGCTCCCGCTTGGGAGGGCATGGCTTGGTTAGCTCTTCATATGCGCTGGGTCTGTGCCAATCCATTTGCACATATAGAGCAGGCCTCCACTTGGCGGCTTCCGCCAGTCGTCGTGGGCCGCAGCGCGGTCGACGGCCCGCATTCCGGCAACCAGGACGCGCTTTCCTCAAAGCACAGAGTGACCAAGAGAAGCACGGCTGGACGCGATTGGACGCGGCTGGTCTAGAATCTACATATTTCCTTGTATTTGTATACTTCTGGGTATACATGTGTATATTGTATATATATATAGATATATACACACATACATACATACATACATACATACATACACACACACAGACACCCCTCTCTTCATACCTCGTTAAATCTGTATATATACATATATATCTGTATATTATGTGTACACACATCTTCTTATATGGATGTAATTATCTTTGTGCTTGCGGTTTGAAAGACCGTTGCCTGGAACTCCGAGCTCTCCCTTGTCCGACTCCCTTGGCCTCGAAGGAGCGTGACAGCACAGCTTACGAGATGCGACAGCTTCGAAGAGCCGAGGACCGACGGTAGGCCGGTAGGCAGAAGTATGATAAAGGTTTAGGGTTTAGGCCTGAGACCCCCAAACTCTTCGTCAGTTCGTGAGCACTGGGGATTTTGCAGTCAGCTCCATGCTTTACTTTGAAGCCTCCCGTCCCCATCGCTGTTATGCACTGTGACTGTGTTGGGTTTGTTTACCGGGAAGCCCTCAACACCCGAACGGTCTTGCTAGAATGCAGCCGCGCACGGGGTGAACCTGGAGAGAGATGTCAAGTTGAGTTGCAGACAGTTCTGCCATGCAGGAACGGATGCCGGACTGGAAAAGCTTGTGGCTCGTGAACTACCTAGTCTTCCTGCAGCTTAGCTCGATCGCCACGTCCGTCTGAGACGATCCGAGGCCCCCTTCTTGATTTGATCGTCTCCCCTGTCTTAGGTTGGTGCTAAACGTCGAGATTGTCGTTCCAACGGCCGACCAGTACGCACAGGCGCTCGGTGCCGGCGAGACCTTCAGCGGCCTGGTCATTGCCCTCACACCCTTCTTCCAGGGGCTGATCGGGATCCCTCTGAAGCTGGGTGCGAGAAAAAGCATTCTCTAGTCTTCTACAAGCGGATGGCGAAACTTGACCTAAGGTAGGGTCGATTGAACTGAAGCTGAGGAACTACTGGATGCTCCGATCTGGAATCTCCCTGAAGACCATCCTCATTGTGATGATTGCTGGCAGCATCCTTGGGAACATCCTCTACGCCCTCGCTGGTCTCATGCGCTCCAAGATTGCCATCTTGTGTGCGCGTACGCTCATCGGAATCTGCCAGTGCCAGCTTGGGGGTCCCATTTACATTGCAAAAGCCGTGGGAGTCAAGAAGCGCACGAAGGTGACTTTAAATGCAAAGTGTGGATTGTTTTTCGACATGACGGAAAGCTTGAAAGTCCCTGAGTTGCGCTCTCGTCTTTCACATGTTGCTTTCGTGACTTGCATGGGGTGAAAAAAAGGGATCTCCAAGGAAATTTGCGTCTGGATGTGTGAAGTCCCTGTGACGGAGATTCAGGCTTGCCATCTGAGGTGCTTTTCGTTTTCTCAACCATGGCCACGCTTGCATTCACAGCAGCTCCACTACTTGCAGCTCTGTTGGAAACCTTCGTGAAGGAGCTGCGAATCGAGAACTTGGTCCTCGACTCCGACACGATTCCGGGCTGGTTCATGGCCTTTGCCTATTACCTTTTCCTTCTGAAAGTAGTCTTCTTCTTCGAGAACCCCCAGGACAACGTGCCGGAGAAAACAGAGACCACCACGGCACCGGAGGTGTTGGCGGAGGCGTCGGAGCCGTTGTGGACCAGCGGCTTTCTGGTGTGCATCTTCGCAGCCTTTGCGAGCTCACTGACCAATACGATGGCCATCGTCTTCTTCGTGAAGCTGGCAGAAAAGACCTGGGGATGGAGTGTGTCGGTCACTGCGTTTGCCTTGGCCGGTTTCATGGCCGTCGTTTCGCTGCTGTCCCTGGTCAGCAGCAGGCTTGCCAAGCTGGTAGAGGACAGGAAGGGGCTCCAGTTAACCTCTTGCGTTGGTGCTGCGTGCTCCCTGATCACTATTCCATTCTCGAAGCACTGGCCGGCAGCTGCGATCACTGTCATGTTTGTTGGGCTATTGCTGGTCCAGTCATCGGCTTCCGTCGTCAAGAACTACGCCTATGCGCTTTGCCCCAAAATCGTGGCTCCACGCTTCAAGGATCGAGCTGGTGCCATCAACATGATCTCCTTGATGCTTGGACGGGGAACCGGTGCACAGCTAGGTGCAATACTGACATCCGCCAGTTTTGCAGGTTCGCAGTTCTGCACCTACTTGTTCCTTTTCTTCCTATCCTGGAAGTTTGCCGCGCATCTGAAGCAGCATGCAAAGGCAACTTAAGTCGGCACAGGCCGCAGTGTTTGCCGGTGAACTTTTGATATTCCGGGCCAAGAGTGCCCAAAGCATCCAATGCTCCGAATGTAAAGCAAAGACTAAGAGCATTAGAGCACTCCTCCAAACGACACCCGTCCTTTGAAAAAGTCGGCCTGGGCCTGGGCCCTCCCTCGAAATTTTCCGCGAGATGTCACCCGTCACCTCACCGCGAAGTCTCCAGCTCGCGGGATCCTCCCGTCGTGCCAGGTGGTGCATCCCCCCGTGGCGGAGAAGCTGAATTGAGACTGCTCCCGTGCTTGCAGCAGATTTAGGCAGGTGTGACCGGCATCAGGCGCCAAAAGCGGTCGAGCACCAGGCTAGAACAGAAGAGCTAACTCCGCAAATATTGCTTGGCCATCAGACCAGAAATGTCGCTACTTCTGACTCTGACATAATATGCGTGCACGACTTTTTGATGCCAGCGCACAGCTGGACACAGCTGGAAACAGGGCCTGTTATCCCTTTGGCCGAAGGGTATTCCACTCAAGCTTCATCCGCTAGTCGAATTGAATCCAAGGTGCCACACCAGGTCAGCCGGCAGGGTCGCAGATCCCAAACTTCGCATGGGGGCCATGTATGGGCAAGCCCGGTACTCGTATGTTGGCTCCAGCTTGCGATAGTCTGCAAGGATGCAGATGCAAAGGCGAGCACGCTGCGAGTAAGATCAAAACCAGTCGCCTTAATCCCAAGATAGACGTATCCATGTGCCCTCCGACTATGTAATTAGTTATGAGTTTGTGCTTCCAGTCTCGGGCTATCAAGTTCTCATAGAGCAAGAATTCATCAGATGCCCTTTGCCCCTTTTCAAGCAGCACGAAGCTTTTTGGAACAGTTCAAGCAAAGCGACGAATTGAGGGTCACTGCCTTGCTCATGACTCCCATGCACTCATGGGCGGCAATCTCAGGCGCAGCAGATTCCAATTCAGAATCTCTCGTTCTCGCGGAGGGCCCCCGTGGTGTGCATGCAGACTGAAGGACTGAAGAGAGCTTCTACAAATCGCAGTCTCCAGGCATCAGCTCACCCCAGCCCTCTGCACCGCTGAACCAGGCAAGCAGGGAGTGCCAGTGGGCTACAAGCTTGATTCAACACATTGCTTGAAGCCTACTTATCAGATGACAACAACTTCGTTCGATGTGTCAGGTGCTTGACGCCCTGCACTCTCAGTCTGATACTCTGCAGCGAGCTGGCGCGAGACAACATGTGACAGCAAGTCAGGGAAGACAGGCCCACATGTCTACATGCCTGTCTCATGTCGAACTTCCGGATGCACCACCGGCAGAAGGCTGGCGCGGGCTTTTGGCCTGTCTAGCATGTCGACATGCCTAAGGCAGGGCCAGCTGAGCTTGCTCTCGAAGCACCTAGCCTCGCTGCGTGACGAGCATGAGGCCACGGACTGAAAGCATTGTCAACCCACCTCGCCCCTACACAGCACCCAGCACCTCATCGAGAGTGGGATCGTGCTTCTGCAAAGTTTTACAACATTCCGTGCAAGTCTCAGCTGGCCTTAGACTTGCCCGAGATGCGACGAGTTGCTGTCTCTGGTAGCCGTGTTTGACTCCGATGCTGTGCCTCCAACTCGAGACCCTTCCGGGCATCGGACCATGTAGTCTCAACATCTGAGACGAGTGCAGTCTCCGCCCGACCACAAAGAGGCAGATCCTCTTCACAAGCCTTCTGGTTTGCCTCAGGCTCTTTGCGAATGCCTGGCCTCGCACGGTGTTGTCCCCGGCGAGAGGTTGGGACAGCGCGGGTGAGTTTCGGACAGTTGAGCCATGTGGTGTGATTTGTGCCACAACTTCGACCGTGCGCATAAACTCGAGCTGTGCGCACATGCCCAAAATGAAGCTGCAGGAAGCCGCTGTGAAACTGTTTTTGGAGGCTGATGGCTTGGCTACATCGGCGTCGCTTCGCGGAAGCTCGGAGAAGACATCCGCTACAGCTGGGGCCCAACATCCCGGTCACCCTGGTCGACGTGTCGCATGCTACGCATGCTTCGCGTGTCGAGGTGTCACGAGTCCTTGGAGTCTCTGCTCCAGGCCAAGGACAGAAGCTCCAAGCCATCGCGGGCCCTGCGGCCCCTTTGCGCAATCTGCAAGGAGCTTTCCCTGACCGTGGCAGCTCGGCTTGGACTGTCGGGTTCGGCTACTGCCAGTCCGGGGCCCCAAGTTCCAAGTCGACCACATTGAAATGTTTTTGCTCGTCTCCTGAGCACCTCCTAGGTGCGGCGTCGCGGGCGTTGCGCGGCTCCTTGGCGGCCGTCGGGCCGGAACTGGTCACCACCTTGGTGCCCACTGAGCTTTACTGAGCGCTACCGCTATAGGTAGTGTTGTCACAAGGTGGAAACACTTTTACTATTGGACTGTGCTTCAAGCTGTACAGACTTGCTGGTACCACAGGTGGCAATGTTTCCGCTTCACCTCTATGCCATTGGAGGGGAGGCGCGGCTGCTTCATTCCAGGGGCCATTCCTGATGCATTGACCGTCTGACCCCGCAGAGCCCACATTCAGAGAAGATTGCGGGGCATGTCATGAACCGTGTGGAGAGCCTTCCGTCCTCCACCGGACAGGAAAGGATGACAATCGGCCACAACACGTGTAACACACCGATTGCAGGCAGGCGGCGATGCCCTGGCATCCGCTGGGACCCCAACTGCTTCGGTTTGCGTAGCAGGTCCTTGAAGCTCAATAACTTGACTCTGGCACTGTTCTGGCCTGCTGGGGCTGTATTTGCATGTATTTGCTGGCATAGTCGGGTTCGAAAGGAGATGGTCGATTCGTGTACGGGTGTATCGTCAAAGTTCCAGCGAGGTCGAGCGGCTTGACGTTCGTGAGAACAGATGGGTGCAGAGCGCGCCCTTGCGCAGCCCCAGGTTGTAACGGGCGAGGGGGAGCAAGTGGTGAGCAGATATGGAAGTTGACAAGGGTTTCCCGGTCTCTATGTCAATGTGGAGCTGATGCTTAGCTGAGCAGAGTCCTGGAAGGAGCGGCTGCGCTGCCGTAGCGCTGTCGGGGCACATCTACGCGGTGGGTGGCTGTGGTCAGGGTCCCCAGCACGAAAGGCGAACAACGCGTGGGCCACGCTCGGCCACGATCGCCCGTCGCCCGCTCGGCTCTCTGTCGCTCAGGGGTTGACGGGGAAGATCTGCGTTCGGTGGAGAGGTGCGGGCCTTGGTATGCCTTGGTCAGACAATTCCAATTGGACCTGCGATCCGAGCAGGATGAACTCACTGAAAACACGTCCCGAACCTGAGTCCACTTGAGAGGTTCAGCTTGTGGGACTCGGAGTGGGAGGCCGGGTCGACTGTAGCCTTGTGAGTGGGCATGCCTGAGCATTCAGGGTTCATGCAGTTTTTGTTAGGGATTCGGGTGCTTGCGCAAATCCTCGAGCTTGTTTTTCTGCCTTGTGCTCGTTGAGCGTATCTTCCAGCTGGCGAAGGAGTGCCGCGGCTCCGTCTTGAATCTGCAGCATGCATATAGTGTCTGCATTCGCCAAGTCACCCAATGTGGCCTGTTCAATTCTCGCATGCAGAGTCCAGGAGGTGCCCGCGATGTCCACTGGCCGTGACGAGCTAGCCGCAGCAGCTTGTGGTGGCTCCCCGAGACTGGTCTCTTTTCCAGTAGTTTCTAGTACACTGAGACGTGGGAGAGAGACGGTGTAGGCTTCGGCGCAACAGCAGGAACGTCTTTTCGCCAGATTGTGGTGACTCTGCACAGAGGTGGCTGCCTCTATGCCATGGGCGGCAGCCACCTCGTTTGGCCGGTGCTCCGGGGACTCTGTTGGCAGAGCTTAGGGCAGCTTGCAGGCAGCTTGCAAGCTTAGGGCAGGGTCATGAAAAGAAGGGAACGTCAGAACCTGCAAGTCGCCATAGACCATGCCGAGGAATCTCCGAGATCATCAGTCGTTGATGGACAGCATCTGTGCTCATCCGTTGAAATCCGATGACCATGTTTGTATCTGCTGCTGCGCTACTGCCGGCATTGGCCGCCTTGTCGCTGTAGGTGCGCCACGTCCTGGACTCCGCGGAGCAGTTCGACCCTCGGAGCCACTCCGCGGGCAGCTGGCAGGCGCCGCACGTGAGTGCATGTGAGTGCCATGCAATCGCTGAGAGCTCAGAGAGCTCAGAGTCTGCAGTCGGAGGCCCTTCCTCGGCTCAGCCGCGAGCGCTGCGCGGCTGCGGCGGTGGCAGTGCGGCGGCGGCTCCTGGTGCTCGGCGGCTGTGATGAGGCCAAAAAAACCCAGCAAATGCCAGAAGCTGAGATGAGATCCACCAGGACGGCGTGGCGCTTTGTTCAGCGGAGTCCTTTGACCCGACGGCCGGGCGCTGGGCGCAGGTCCCGGTTGCAGAAAGCTGGTTGTAAGCCTCGTCGTGCGCTCGATGGAGTGATCCCTGCAAGTCCCCACTTAGCCCAATAGCGGACGTTTCCAAGGTGCCCTTACCACCGATGAAACGGCCACGGTGCAACTTCGTACATGCCTCAAGCTCGACTGAAGAGTTGAATGTCTACCGGCACCGTGGTGCCAGAAGTTGTGGAGTTTGGAGTACGTATCTACTCAAAAACAAGCGCCCCAAGACTGTCAGCACGACACTTAGACTGAAGCATAAGCTGGCTGCGTTTGATGACTTTCTGATTTCGGGAGTTGCATAGGTCAACCCTCAGTACTTGTAGCATCGACGACAAGGCCCACCAGAGATCCGCGCGAAGTGTCGCCACAAACCAAAGCACGATGCCCATCGCGGTCGAGCCGAGGCTGCCGCTGCAGCCGGGGGTCGCGTGCTGGTGGCCGGAGGCTACGATGCGCGGCTGCCCGGAGTCTGCTAATGGCTCGAGTCCGCTTGATGCCGTGGTGAGCTCCAAGGACAACACGCGAGATGTGGACACGGTGGAGCACCTGGATCCCTGGCAGAGCATCGGGTGCGCGCTCAAACAGCCCGACACAAGTATTGTGGTATTCTTTGTTTGGGGCCTTCAGCAGAGCAATCCCTGGTCTATCACCGGCACAACAGAGTTTCTTGAAAACCCTGACTCGCATGCCATGCCATGTGGGGTGATGTACCTTTCCCAAAGCCTCCGAACCCGGAAGCCCAGGGCCCATGCCGTCCATGCCCTCAAAGCATCCTGCCGCAGCTGGGAGTCCGTCGCCCGCCTTCCAGTTCCCCGCTGGGGTGGCAAACTCAGAGCTCTCTTCAGTTTAGAGGTGGAACTCATCAGTGCGCGACAAATATGCATACTCACATGCTAGTACATGTTTGTGCCGGTGCCACCGGCACAGATAGGACCTGGCTGGATTTCGGGCATCGTAGACAGCCTCCAACTCCAATCGTGTGCAAGGTCCTCGTGCCAGGCGGAGACTCCCCGACGCAGCCACCCAAAACTCAAAACTCCTTCGATCCCACGGCCCAGGTGTCCGTGCTGCAAGTAGTGCTGGAACCATCTTCATCGTGGGCGGGAGCGGCAGTGCTGCAAAGCCGTGATGGCTGAAGAAGAACATTTTGAGCCTTTGCGGGGGCTTGCCTCGCTTCAATTTTGCGCAGCTTGCTGGTCCCGGTACAATCCGCGCAGGAAGGTCAACGAGTATGAGGTGGGAGATACCCAGTGTGCGCCTGGCCTGTTGACACTGCCATCATGTCAGCAGCGTTGTTGACGCCTGCTTTTTGCACAGCCCACCCTGCTGAGGGTGTTAATTAGGCAGTGAAAAGTGGGCAGACTGAAGCTCGGGGAATTGCCGGCTCAGGCTTGTGGAGTCTAAGTTTGGCGCATGTCAGGTATGGACCATGCATCGGGCAGCTGGGCTTGGGCCTAAACCGGCTTGGCCGTGGCCGTTTCTCGGAGCTTCGCCGACAGGTGAGCTATGCGCAGCTCCTGCAGCCGCGACGGTCCTTCGGCTTGGCCGCTGTGAGTGGATTCGGATGAGCGATGGGCTTTGCCATGGCACATGAAAGCTTGACATTTTAAGCCATGCGCACTGCTGCGTCTTCCTGGCTGTAAATCTCAAAGTTAGATCTACAGCCCTTTCTGACCGGCAGTCCGGCCTGTTCGCCGGACACAAGCTCTCATGTTCGGACCGTTCGGACCATCCACCGGATGCGAACTCAAACATTCCAGAGTGCTGCAAGGATTGCACATGCTACGTACATCGGATTAGATTGAGTATGAAGGAATGATTGGTTTTTTGCAGGAGATCGAGATTCGGATGATCTGCAGCCGCTGCAGCCGTACCGCTTAGTCAAGCCTTAACACAGGGCTGTGTAGGCTTCATCTTCCTTGCAGAATCTTGCGGTAGCTATCAGACAGCCATGTCTGCTGATGAGGTGCCGGTGATTGACCTCTCCGCTTTTTTGAAAGAGTGGGAGGCAATCCCTGCGGACAGGCGGGGAATTGAATCATGCAGGTGCCTAGCTTGAACAAACTTGTGAGGAAGACACTCTCTGGCACAGACCACGCAAGAACGTGAATATGCGGTCTTGCATGTGTGTCTGTGCTTCTGTGTACGACAGGCCACAGCCTAAGCAAACAAGAAACGTTGGTTGGAGACATGTCCGAGCTTGCAGGCGTGCAACGACGAAAGTGGATGAGCTGCCTCAGGAAGGGGCCTGTGACACCTATATAGCCTATATACTGTGTTCATGGTGTGCCAAGTTAACCGTGCGCAGGTTTCTATCACGGCATGTTCTTGTGGGCGTTAGTGCCTGGCTACCAATCTCCAGGTAGACAGTCTGCTGTCTTACTTGTGCAAATATACAGATGAACGCACACGTATAAGCATGTATTGATCTGTACATGCTCATGTATCTTTGTCTATGTATGCAGAATGACCACACGCTCTTTCGCCCTTTCGATGCAATACCCACATATATGTGTATACTTTTCGATTAGCACAAGCAGGGAATCGATTTCACAAGCGTATTCAAATGCGTAGGCATGCGCCTAGAGACCTCCATACATGCATGCCTTCATATGCAGGCATGCACTCATGCACGCGGAATCTGTTCATACATAACTACTTCCTCACATGCGCAAACACATACACCTAGTAAAGAGTGTAGTTTGGCATAAGTTCTTCCTATGCAGCATGTGTTCACAACATGCCCCTACAGGTCTGTGTGCTTTTGGTACACTTATACTGATGTCCTCGGAAATCTATTGGATCGAGACACCTCCTCTATTCTCGCGCATCCATGTATCGCGTACTGAGGGTATATCAATGCATGCATAAATTTATATGTGTACATGCGTGTGTATATACGTATGTTACATACTTTACATATACAGATAGTTATGTATATACAGATACATACAGATACTCAGTGCCGGGATTGAAACTGGATTGAAGGAACTCCGTGCCCGGATCCACTTTTTAAGATTTTCCCACGAATCATATAGTCATCGATCTTGGATCCGGATCCCGGATTGATGTTCAATGCTTCAATCCGGTTCAATCCTGTCACATGGACCCAGGTGTACATACAAGGAAACCAACCGTCTCTCATTGAGCCAGTCTTCAAATGCGCGTCCTCAAGTCTGTCATTGGCGATTCGTATCCGTCGTCTAGTGCCTGTACGTGTGTATGACTACCAGGTAGCAAGATGCTCCGGGGTCTTGGTTGCTGGGGTCCTGATGAATTGAAGTTTAGCCAAGGAGCCAAGAGCCATTGTCGTCTCACCGGTTCAATGTCTCGGTCACGGGTAACTTCAACGGACGGGCAGATGTCCTATGGACTCGTTCTACCCCCTCTTCTGAGAAGACTGAAACCTCCAGGGTCTCGATAACCGCATTGGTGCTCATGGCTACTAGATTGCAGCCGGGATTGCTGTCAATATGATAGTTGGGCTCTGAAAACCTAAGCTTGTACCAGCAGCGACAGTCACGAAACAGATCCTGAAATGCTGAATGTTATGTTGCTCGTAGTCCTGGTACTGAACGAAATGAGGCATGTAAGCCTTTACGATGGAGATGTGTGTTCATGGTGGGGTTCTGACAGGACCCAGTGGAGTAATTACAACGACCAGGATTGCAAGACTTGTGGTTTGTTGGAAAACCGTGGAGTTTCGTGGCAGGATTTGGGTGGAGATTATAGCAAGGGGTACGTACGTAGAGAAGAACGCAGATTGCCAAGCCCAATATGGTTGGGACTCTTAACAGTCAGTATGCAAAAATTGGTTGCAGGGGTCGACATGTTTGGCGTTTCGGAGACTTACGGTGTTTATATGACGGGTAAAAAGCTGTGGCTTGCCAGTGACTCATATATATATATATATATATCTCCATAAATAGTCAGAAAAGAGGCTGCCTACATGCATGCGGCTTAACAAGCAGTGACTTTCGAGGAAAACGAGTACCGGCAACAGTTGAGTGAATTTGAACCACCAAGGCACCAAATTCTTGTGTCTGACATCAAGATCTCAAACGATAGCAGTTGCGAGGACTCTAGGCCAGATCCAAAGCTCTGAGCGGCATGGCGAGATCGCCCCCCCCTCCCCCTCGCCATTCCAAATGCGCGGGAAAGAATGCCATCGTGGCCACCGACTGTACAACTTTCTTTCTGTCTCTATCTCTTTCTCTTTCCCTATCTCCATCCTTATCTTCATCTGTCTGTCCTGTTTTCCAGTACATCGCATTTGTTGTACCATGTTATCTTGTGCTATGTCGCTATGTTATGCTATTTTATGTTGTTTGTCTTATGGCACAGCATGTTATATTATGCTAAACTTACGTTAGTATACCCTATTACTCTGTATTTTCTTTTTTGCATTCTCATACAGTAGACTTCATCATAGATTCCGTTACCTTATACTGTAATACTGTATTCTATCATGTTAGTTTAAAATCATGTGATGACTTAATGCATTGCCATATGTTATATTGCAGTGCATGCTATATATTATGTATTTCAGGTTATATCTGACATATTACGTATCATATATGCTGTAGGTTAGCATATTTTAGAGACATTCTACATAGTCCAAAGATCATTTTTTACATATTGTTTTGCAAGTGATTCACCGTGTATTGCTGAGTCAAAGCAGTATACTATACCAGATTTCTGTATACAATACAATGTGATATTCTTTATGCTATATTGGATTTCATCTGTCGTTTTTTTTGCATTTTACTATGATATGTTGTACTCTGACCAGTCACATGCACATGTACCCATACGCAAACAGTTACGTTCTACTGTATTATGTGCATGTTGTACACCCATTACTTTGTATGCTACAAAGTGATGCAATGTTGTGCTACGCTTTGGTATGTTGTACTGTTTTGCATTTCTTTGCTGCACTGTTTTGTATTGGCAACGTACACATGCGCATACACATATACATGCGCAGTTAGATTTTGTGCTGTGACATTACGTTATATTCTGCATGCAGTATGCATAGTGTATGCTATGCATGGCATATGCTTATCATGCTGTGATATGTTGATTTATGACACTCCTTGCTACTCCTAACAGAACGTCAAAGGATCATACAGCATATGGCTTGCATACCTGTATCAGACTTTAACTGCCGTCCACACGTCCATTTTGGCTCAAGAGCCAGAAAATTTTCAGACTTCAGCCGCTAGTGTGCCTTTGCAGCCATGTCCAGCCAGGACCAGCCTTGGGTTGACCAGGTGCATGCAGCCGAGGACGCTTGGGTCAGCCTCTTGAGCCTCGATGGTGACGTCCTGGTTGAAGCCCTGGCAAACTTGCCAGGGGATCTGCAGGGGCGGTTGGAGACTGTCATAGACTCCATAGACTTCGCCAGCCGAGTCAGGAACATTGTAGTCGACACAGGGCTTGGTACAGCCGCTTGGCACTTGAGCTACATCAGTACCACTGAGGAGTCAGACGTGGTTCAGCCGGGACAGCCCTCATGGGCTGACCAACTCGACGACGAGATAGCCATGCCTCCTCCAGCCCAGGTGCAGCCACAGCCAGCAGCCGACACAGTCAACCAAGGTCCCTCGCAGTCGACCACAGTCTTTGGCTTTCCCGCCATTGAGTACAGCCCGTGACAGCCGGTTGCCAGCCACCTTGAGGGCCCACGGTCACAGGACCGATGGGTTCTGTCTCAGTCGATGCCCAGTCTGTCAGGCAGCCGCTTGCAGCCGCGCCCTCACCCTGACCAAGGAAGGAGGGGCGTGGCACGAGCACCACGACTGCCCTCGATGCCACGTCAGAGGCCGGAACACACTAGCTTGAACCAGCCTTCTTCAGTCTTCTTTCAGGATCCAGCCGACGTGGCAGACGATGAGCCAAGGTACAGACGAGGCAGGGTGTTCTGCACCTTTTCTCGTGCAGAGACGCTACGGCCAGGCCTCCTTCCTTGGTCAGGGTGAGTCAGGCTTTTATAGCCTTCTCCAGCCTTTTCAGTCACAGCTCCTTAGCCTTCTGCAGCGCTGGCAGCCGAGCCTTTTGCTAGGACATGCTAAGGTTACATGATGCAAGCTTTCTGTCACCAGCTCGGCCCAGCCGTATCTTAGGGACATTTGTCCTAGCCTTTCACATAGCCCAGGGCCCAGCCGTCGCGACCAGCCGGGACCTTTCTGGCCCAAGGCTTCCGATCTTGGCTTGAGCCGCAAAAGTTTGCCAGCACTTGCGTGCAGCAGCCTCTGTTCCAAGCCGCACGAGAGTGCAACAGACAGCACGGCCTTGCTCGGCTCAAGCCTTGGGGGGCGACCTTGGGTCCCTTGCGAGAGCTTGCATTCTTTTGGTAGAGTGTGCTGCAGTTAATCTGCTATATATCGTAGCACATCATATCGCATGCATGTCATTTCATTCTACATCATCGTTTTGACATTACATTGTGTGATATTGGGTAATGTTATTTACTCCCCTGCGTTTTCTGTCCGTTGCGCTTGGAAACACGGAACATTTTCTCTTGTTTGCATGCTTATTGGTTTGGCGGTTTAGGCGCCCTATTGGTTATAACCAGACAGAAAGGCTATGACCCATTAAACCAATCCTTTTGCCCTATACCGGTAAGCCAATAAGCCATTAAACCTAAGCGAATCCGTTTGCCCCATGCCACGAAACCAATAAACCATAAAACCACTAAACCTATCCTTGTCCTCTGGTGAACCTAGACCCATCCCTAAACCACTAAACCACTAAACCATCAAAGCATTTAGCCATTCATTTCACCGAATTAGCTTGACATACCAATACATAGGCCAAAAGGATTGGTTGAACGGTTTATTGGTTTAGGCCTCCGTTGCCGTATAGGCCAAATGGATTGGTTTGATGGTTTAATGGTTTGGGCCTCCCGTGCCCTGTAAGGCACATGGATTGGTTTAATGGTTTGGGCCCCCCGTGCCCTATACAGTAAGCCATATGGATTGGTTTAATGGTTTAATGGTTTAATGGTTTAATGGTGGGTCTACCTGCCTAGTAAGGAGCAGTCCTGGTTATAGCCAGAGGCACCGGTTGTAACCAGGGCACAGAATACGTTCAGAATTTGAAGACTCCCACCGTGCCCTATAGGCCGAATGGAATGGCTTGTTGGTTTAATGGTTTAAGTTTTCTGTGCCGTATAGGCCAAGCAGATTGGTTTAATTGCATGAAGTCTCGCCCAAACCCTGGCGACAAACCCTGAGCAGTAAACGTCAACCCGAGACGTTTATGGTCAAAAACTGAATTGGTAAAATGAGGTGGGGTTTGGGTACCATTGAAATCCTTAGTTTATTGGTTTCGGACCCTTCCTGTAACATTGGTAAGCTGCTTCGAAACGCCGGGGTGCTTGTAAACCAGGGTTGTGGTTTGTAAACTTGAGAGTGCCTTCATTGTCCCGTCATACAATAGACCTTACGAAGCAAATCTGTTTCATCGCTACTTCAGCAACACCCAAATCCAAACGTTCGAGAGTTTCGGTGTTTCATTAGGAATGTAACTGCAATGAAGTTGGCAAGGACTAGAAGACTAGATGGTCTTAGGTATTCGGCATTTATTCGTTTTTTGAGCCATGATGCAGTGCTTTGTAACAAACGTAACTCCTGGACCATATGCCTATTCCAGCGATTTTTGCGGAAAGGCCATATAGCGGACTTTTCGTAATGGTCTGTCCGTTCCAGTACATCGGGCTTATAAGACAAGCCAATCATGCACATATTTGGCGAATAGTCGCTTGCATGTCACTCGACCAGACATCAAAATGCGGAATATGACGTGGCTTCTATCGGGATGATAGTAATATAGTAGGTCAGTAAGTGTTGCCAACATTGGAATATCGAGGTAATAAGAAAGTTGAGGTACATTTGGAGAGACAGTATTTTGCAGTTTACAGCATTGTCAGGTTTCATCACGTTGCACATAGACGAACTGGTTGCAACGTTATGTTCAAACATCATCCCAAGGAAGCAGGGTTTCGATGAGACAAAACGGACTAGAATGTGTGGGGTGAGCGAAACGAAATCTGCAGCTTACAACATGTAAGGTTTCCTCGCACGGTACGTAGAGTATTCCTGGCAACGCTACTTCCAACTACATGGGGATGAACTCTCTTTCGAGGGTGATTCGGTGTGTGTTGAACACTTTTCCTTGCACGAGGAATCACGCTGTGGACTGGGGCAAGGCCTCTATTAAGGCTCCAGTAGATGTTCACAAGAACACAAACATAAACTCGGACAGGCTGATGAGGCCTTATGGTTTTCAGTCGGCTCTACGTGATGGTTACAAAGAATAAGGAATGCAACACCTAAATATACCGGATATACCAGTGTTTATAAAAGCAATCACATAGGGGCGCATGGATATGTTACATATGGCCAAATCTCCAGAGACTTTAATGGGATTGCGGCAGTGCAGTACAAACATGGACAACTTTTGGATCCAAAGTCTAGTTCACCATCAGGCATGTCTGAACCAGACTATGAGTAAAGCGCATTTGTGGAAGATTGGAAATGCAGCGGTTTAGAGACAGTCACGCAAAGATGGAACACTAAAATTTATCGACGGCTTCAAGGCAAGGAGTCTAGCACATTGTAACAAGGTTTCGACAAGTTTGCTGCAGAATGGTTAAGGTTGTGGAATATTACACTCAAGCAAAAAATAGTATAGTGTACCATTAACAAAACAAATCATAATATCATGTACTGGTAATAAAATGTACTTTAGCATAGTATAATACAGTGCAATATACTACAGCCTCATAGCAAGCATAGAATAACACACCCTATTACTATATACAAAATGTACAAAACAAGATGAAAGAATACAATATAACGGGCTGTGTAGTATTCCCCCCTGCATTTCTGCAATGCTGTGCTGTTGTGGAACCAGCAACTGGTTTTGAAACCCGCCGAAAGCTTAGACCCTTGACATCCTTGAATCTGGAGCACAGCATCTAAGCAGTCGCGAATTCACATGCTTTTGAGTCCATCTGAAAGCCACCACAAAATGTGCAGCATCTAAGCCATTACGAATGATTATGGATGTTTCTCACCTTGTTCGTTCCAGTACGTACCATCCCCCGACAAGTGCTACGATTTCGTTGCGTTCCTCACCACCTCTGCAAAACTAATTTGGAGACGAACCCGGGAAGTCATGTACCGTATCATAAGGTAAGATGATGGCATATGCATATGAGCTCTATAACATCAGCGTTGCTAAGCGGCACCTGAACCGCATTGGTGTTTGAAGATGTCATTATATCATCATGCAGCGTTGTTTGGTTAACTTTACGCGCAGATCATCTTGTATCTTGTACCGAAGGGACGAACTATGTCTTCAATATACGATTTGAGTTTGGGCTCTCTCCTGCATTGTTGGATACGTTTGAGGAATCCGCCGATGAATCAGACAGGCATCATTTTACATTCGTACAGAAACACATCAGCATGATGGTTTCATGGTTATGACGTTCTACTCGTCCAGCAGCAAGTTCGTGCAGCTGCAGGAAGCCACAGGCACCTTCTCCTCGGACATGCAACCACGTTCGACATGTCAGCCCATTTTGCTGTACACTCTTTTCGGCAAAGGAGGCCCGGACCGTCGTCCGCGCCTGGCGCGAGGCCAGCGGGGCATTTCCACGCAATTAGGATAGATGAAGAAGATGCATGGGTACATGGCTTGTGAAGTGGAAGGTGCGAAGCCCTACGAAGCGTTGTAGCATCGGTTGGTCAAGGCAGACGGATGATGAGTCAAAACCAGTATCCACTTGTCTGCTGCTGAGTAGGCGGGCCAAAGACAAGTGTTGCAGCCAAGTTGCTCCTGGTCTATTTCACAGCGACACCTTCCCATATTCATCGGACAACGTAGTCTAACCTGCCCAGCCTTTGCTACTCCCCTTTCATCCTCCCGTCAAGTTTCTGTGCTCCAGCGAAGCCGATCTCTCTTCCACAATATCCTGCTCCTTAACCTCATGCTCAGAGAACGAGCCCCGGGCTCGTGGCCTCTGAACTAGCCACTCGCATCCGCTTGCATCTGCGAGTCGTATAGCACCATGGGTGTGTCATGCCACAGGCACACAACCTCACAGCCTTGAGGCATTTGGCAAATTTGGCTTCTGCCATGCCATTGGTCACGGCGTACCGGACAGGGTTTGCTTAAGCAGTATGTTCATGTAATCGGTCGCGATCTTCGGCGATCATTCCGGGCTGAACTTTATATGATTTTGCATAGCCACACTGAGCGATGCTTGCAGGGCGATCGAAGATGAAGCATGTCGTGCAAGCAGGATGATGCATTTTGTCTCGAGTGTCGAAAGCTACTGGCTTCCAGGACGAAGTCATCGAGAATACCTATGCCTGTGCTCGAAAATTCTTCGGACTGCCCCTGGAGGAGAAGAGACTGGGATCAAAGAATACTGGACTAGTTTAGCCCGACAGCGCGGACGATGTCGGTGTTTTCCTGTGGGCCTGCACGCTGTGCTCTTTTTCCTCTGAGTAGGGTAGTAACTGCAGTTCGTCGCGAAGCAGAGCACCTCTGATTGGAGCGAGACACTGCATCTTAGTCAAAACACGAACCTTGGATGCTGCGAAGAGAGCAGTTCGAGTGGCACCCGACTGAGGATTCTCTCGGACACGGGCCGCCCGTACGGAGCCGGCTGGCTAGCATTGGGCTTGCGCTGGCGGTTGAGGGGCATCTGTGGACTTGAGGTTCTGGGTTGTCATTGTAGGCTTTCTGGCCGGAATCTGTCCTGGTCGCTGTCCACTCCACTAATTCTAATGCTACGCAGCCCGCCTCGGCCGCCGGCTGCAGTAGGGCCAGCAGGGGCGCAGAGCAGGGGCCAAACTGCGAAGGGCCTCTGAAAGCAGGTGTAATTTAGTTGCAGGGTCAGGGCTACTTGGAGAAGTGTGGCAAGTGTAGAGCAAACACATGCAGCAAAAAACCCAAGTGCGCAGAAGGGTTGCAGGAATGAGATACAGAAGCAAGGCCAGTGCTTGGTCCTGGTGATGCATGATAAGTCGACGAGTCGTGTGGTCTGGCCGACGACGTGCCTTGGAGCCGGCTCGGTGGGGGGCAGGCCGAAAGAGGAGAAAAGGTTGAAAAAACACGAGAGGGCAGGACAACACGGAAGGGTGGACTGGCCGGCCGGAGGAGGAAGGGGGGGCCAGCAAGAGGGGGAGGGGGGGAAGGAAGGAAAACAAGCCAAAAGAAGTGCAGACAAGACGGAAGGGTGGGAAAAGGGGCCGGGGGGGCGGGGAGGGAGGAGGGCTGGGGGGGGCGAGGGGCAACAAAACAGCAAAACGAGAGCTTCAACGAGGAAGCAGGAAAGAAGCACGCAAACGAAACATAAGAAGAAAAGACAGTGGAGCCGGGGGCAGGCCGAAAGAGAAGAAAAGGTGAAAGAAAACGAGCAGGCAGAAGACAAAAAACAAGGGGAAGCCGGAGGAGGAAGGGGGGGCCGGAGGAGGAAGGGTGGGGGGGAGGGGGGGGGGAAGAAAACAAACCAAAAAGAAGTGCACGAAAAAGTCGCAATGGAAAAAACACGCGAGGGCAGGACAAGACGGAAGGGTGGGAAAAGGGGCCGGGGGAAGGCCCGGGGGAGGGGGGCCGGGGAAGGGAGGGAGGGCGGGGGGGGGGGAAGCTTCAACGAGGAAGCAGGAGAGCCAAAGCACGCGAACGAAACATAAGAAGAAAAGGCAGTGGAGCCGGCCCGGGGGGGGGCAGGCCGAAAAAGCCAAAGCACGCGAACGAAACATAAGAAGAAAAGGCAGTGGAGCCGGCCCGGGGGGCGGCAGGCCGGAAGAGAAGAAAAGAGGAAAGAAAACGAGCAGGATAAAACAAAAAACGAGGGGAAGCCGGAGGAGGACAGCAAGATGGGGGAGGAAGGGGGGAGGGGGGGGCAGGACAAGACGGGGGGGGGCCCGGGAGGGGGGCCGGGGGAGGGAAGAGGGGCTGAGGGGGGGCGGGGGCGAGGGGCAACAAAACAGCAAAACGACGGAGCTTCAAGGAGGAAGCAGGAGAGCCAAAGCACGCAAACGAAACATAAGAAGAAAAGGCAGTGGAGCCGGCTCGGTGGGGGGCAGGCCGAAAGAGGAGAAAAGGTCGAAAAAACACGCGAGGCCAGGACAACACGGAAGGGTGGACTGGCCGGCCGGAGGAGGAAGGGGGGGCCAGCAAGAGGGGGAGGGGGGGAAGGAAGCAAAACAAGCCAAAAGAAGTGCAGACAAGACGGAAGGGTGGGAAAAGGGGCCGGGGGGCGGGGAGGGAGGAGGGCTGGGGGGGGGGCGAGGGGCAACAAAACAGCAAAACGAGAGCTTCAACGCAGGAAAGAAGCCAAAAACGAAACATAAGAAGAAAAGACAGTGGAGCCGGGGGCAGGCCGAAAGAGAAGAAAAGGTGAAAGAAAACGAGCAGGCAATCGAAAAAAAGACAAGACGGAAGGGTGGGGAACCAAAAAAGGAAAACGAGCGAGGAGGGCAGAGGGGAGGACGGGCCGGAGGGGGAGAAGAGAAAGGGAGGGGGGAGGGGGGGGGCGGGGGGGCGGGGGCAGCGGGGCAGCGGGGGGAGAGCAAGGGCGCAGGAAGGGGGGGCCCGGGAGGGGGGGGCAGGAGGGGGGGAGGCAAATTCGGCAGCAAAAAAGGACGGAAGCCGGGCAAGGGGGTCGAAAACAGTCGCTAAAAACGGGTGGAAGTTTGCATTTCGGGTGCACAGAAGGATTAGGTAGAGGGTTGGTTAGTATTAACCATCAAGACGCCAGAGGCCTTTGGCCTCGGCGGATTATGCGCGATATCATATCGCTGACCGGCGCTCGCAAAGACGGTGTCGGGTCTGCATGATTTCCAGCCCTGTCGCTTGCATACGACATTCGAATTTATTAGAAACCTGCAATCTCTTCATCCGAAGAGAGGGCTCAAGGCCCCTCCTTATCGCCTCGTAGCCATGCTAGACATGGTTAGACTCACCAAAGCTCGATCCCACCAAAGCCTGGGCCCCTGCCGAGAGCGCCGGCGGCGGCTTCAAGGCCCAGGCCTGGCAGCCAAGTACTTAGAGCCACAAAAAGAGCCACTTAGAGCCACTTTGCCAGGGGGCGGAGAGCGTCAGCAAAACAGAGACTGCCAACCCGGGTGGCCAGGTCGGCAGAGGGCACGTGTCTACTTGGTCCCTCCACGGGCCGGGCCGCATCTGAAGCAAGCCGTGCAGCGTGCAGGTTGCTGGCACGAAGACAGCGCGTCCGTCTGACAGAGTCGAGTCCATGACGTACTTCGGCAATGGCGACGATGTCGCTTGGAAGGGCTTGGATCGATTTGGGGCTCTTCTTTGTTGCGCGAAGTCTCGGATTACTGCCCCCCAGAGATAGCCAGGTTTCCACGACATGATGAGACAACTCGAGTTGAAGAGTCAAGAATATGAGAGATGGTTCTGTTTTCGGAGTTAGGGGAGCGATTTGAGTGATGGGAGGCGCGTTCTTTCTGTTACAGGCTGAAAGCCAGACATTGCGAGAGATGCTCGTGAGCATGGAACGCAATGACTTGCGCGAGAGTCCCTCTTGGACCGAGATTCACGGCCGGCCGCAGCAAGAAGCGTGGAACCGATCTTGGAATGTCTGACTGCCGCCTTCATATGCCTTCATCCAACATAGGAAAGACTTTGCCAGAAGTGGCCGCCGTGCAAAGTGCGCAAGACGCAGCTCCCCCCCAAAACGCGAAGCGAGCTTCTGGTGGTTTCGGAGCCCCTCTGTGCCCGTCAAACAAGGTCATTCCCAAGGCCGTTCCGGAGTATGCAGACGTCATGGAGCGTTATCGGAAGGATCCTTGGATTTGATGAAGACTAAGACTTCCTCTAAATTCCTCCAGCATGAAAAAGGTATTCGGATGGCAGAGGGCATGCAGTGAAGAGGAAGTGTTCCGACTTCTTCTTGGCTCCATGGCGCTCACCGCCGCCGCCCTCGACCTGCCGGGGACCCTCAGAGGGGTCGGGCTGGTGGCATTGCAATTCGGGCGTGAGACTTCTGAGGCCGTTGGGGCACTTCGAGCCTTTCTTCCCGACAGGGAAGCTCAGCACGGCCGGGCTGGGTGGGCCACGGATTGCCAAGATTTGCCAAGCCTGAAAGTCGCAGCTTCAGCTCAGATTACATGATCAGCGGAGTCACCTTTGGCAGTCTTGTGCACTTGTCGGTTGGTAAGATCTGCTTTTCTTTTCTGAAGTCCGAGGAGTGCACTGTCTTCGTTGTCGATTTCTGCGGTTTCGGAACTACTGGTTTCTGCATGCTCTTTTGCATTGTTGCTGGCAAATCGAAGTGCTTGAATTTACGCACTCTGATGTACTTCCCGCGTCTTGTCTTGCTATCGGGTGCTGCAAGATACGTTTTGCACAGAACGGGAACGTGATGCGCTTGGCTTACTACCCGGCCTACAAGGAAGGGTACCATGGCGCAAGAGTTTCAGGCCAAAAGTGCGATCGAATCGAGTCGGCTTTCATCTAAGCTATCAGGTAAATGGTTGCTCTTATGCTTATGCTTCTGACATCCTGTAGCTCTGCACGATGAACTCAGGCAGGAGCCACTGCCGGGGCAGATGCGGTATGGTGAGCATACCGACTACACAGGCACGGGCTGACAGCAATGTCCTGGGTGCCTGCAAGCTAGTAGGCGCTCAAGTATCGTTACACAGTTCTTCGAAATCCTATGGAGCCTGGTTTGTTGTTGTTGTTCTTCTTCTTTACAGTTGTTGTTCTTGTTATGGTTGCTCTTGTCTTTGCTTCCATTTCCTTTTTCGGGTTCTTGTTCTTGTTCGTGTTCTTGTGCCTTTGCTTGTGCTTGTTATTGTTCTGATCCTTGTTCTTTTTGTTCTTATTTTTACTGTTCTTCTTGTACTTCTTCTTCTTCTTCTTGTTCTTGGTGGTTGTTGTTCTTACTCTTCAGGCAGTGCACGAGCATCAGGGAGAGAGAGCAATAGAGAGAAAGAAGAGTTGGCCAATAGTTTGTCGAGACATCCTCAAGTGGCCCGCCCCTGCACGCACAACGGCGCAGGTTTTGCAATTTTATGTGTGGGATCAATGATGCTTGGTCGGCTTGGACGTTCAGTCACCTCCATCCGAGGGAGCGGGAAAGCAACGCAACGAAGCAGAAGCAGCAGTGCGAGCCCACGGCAAGCACCTGACCGTGTCGTTACTGCAGTTTGCATTTTTCAGACGAGCTCACACACAACAAGCGAAGAACGAGGTTCGGAGACAGAGGGGTTCGTTGCTCAGTCAAATGGTGACTGTGCACGGAGCCAGCTCCGAATAGCACTGTAGTTGCAGCAGGTCATGAGCATCGTTGTTTCTGACATTGTTAACCTCCCATGAGTCCTATCGAGCGTAGTCCTCGCTTGATTCTTACCTCAACATCCAGGGTACCGGTCTTCTCCTTCGTCTCAGAGCTTTCGCTTCGGTCCGTTTGTGAGCCTTCATGAGATCTCAATTGTCGGAGAGGCTTCACCTTCTTGTGGCAAGACCACAACGTGTCTGGCACTCGCCCCAGAGCAAGTTTGATTGCTCGCAATGAGGCTTGGTGTCTGGGCTCAGCCTTGCCAGCAGCAAACGCTTCGCACGACCGACTCGCACATTCTGGAAGTGATACTATCTCGGCGCCTTCCGGCCCAGTTGTACGCAAGCATGAGAAGTGCAGTAGCTTTCACGCATAGCGCGAGATCGGTGCATTCCGGCATATTGCGGCATAGAAATCCTGCCCGCGCCGAAAAAGCATCCTGCAGAAAGCTCAGGGCCGCAAACTGCCAGCAGCGGCCTGGAAGCACCTCCCGGGGGGCTTCAGGCTCCGACGTAGCGCTCGGAAGCCTTGAGGAAATGTGTCCTTGGTCGACACAGTCTGGATGAATGAGCGAATCGCATCCATTTATGAGTTTTGTCTGGCAGTCGTGTGGGACTTGAAACACTTGCAATGTCTTGGATCCTGATCCACTTGAAGGCGGGGATCGGACTCGCAGAGTTGCATTCAACCCCTCGGCCTCGCCCAGATCCACTGACGCGCAAAAGCTGTCGCGGAAGGTCCGGATGCCTGATGGCTCCTATGTGGACTGCCCCCCAAAGCTGGGTGCCCAGCACGGCACGATGACCGCAAAGGCTTCTTGTAGGAGCTTCTCTTGGAGAAGCGGCCAACTTTGCCAAGCTGTCGGGCGGTCGGGGAGTGGATTTTGTCCACAACCTTTTCAGTACCCGTGACGAGGGATCTGGAGGAGAAGCGGGCTCACTCTGTTGAATCGGCAAAAGCAGTAAAGGCGGCAGGCTCATCTAGGAAGCGTGCCGGCGGAGTCTCGCGAACAACTTGCGCCGAACTTGACTTGGGCTCGTGTGTCCAAGGCCCAAAGCCTTTACGATCAATGCAGGCGACTTGATTCAGGCCTTGCTTGGGAGCGCTTGAGGGCTTGAGAGCGCAAGCTTCTGCAGTCTTCGCATGAAACTAATCTAGGGTATGCGCAGCTCTAAACGAGGCACGAGGCTTTGATTGTCAAAGGCACGTATGGTCTTGGGCTGGTACAGGCTTGGACCAATGATGTCTTCTTGTCCAACTACCACCGTGTTGCGAATCCTCCTCTTGGGGCCAACAGCTTACCGACCGTTGCCATATTCTCCTCAAGCCAAATCTCGCGGCGCATCTCCGAGGACCGTCATGCTCGAATCAGCATTGTCTACTTCACTGGACCCACCCACGATACGATGGTAGAGCCCTTGCCCTGTCCTTAGCTTGAAGTTTCCGGATCAAATGTGGGGTTGCTAGCCGCAGCCGGCTGAGGCCAACGTGTGTCGGCCCAGACAGACCGGCAAGGCTAGGCCTGTGAGAAGCGCTTTGGTTGGCTTTGGCCGCTTTGCGAGGGCCCTTTTCTTCTCTCGCCCTCAGATCAAGAGGGCTAGACCGGGGTCGAAGAAAGAAACATGGCTACCGCCCGCGGTTCAAGCATCACGCTGCCAGGTACTCTGCCATTTCCGCAGGTGAGCACCTGAACAAGAAGTTGAAGGTGTCAAATGTTTGAGAATTTAGGGACGAGGGGCAGTCTAGAAGGTAAAGTAAAGTTTATGGAAGGTGGACTTATAATACTTGAAGGTATTTCTTCTGCGGTGGAAAGGCCAGGTCCAGGTCAGCACACTGCACTGGACCAGCCAGGGCCCGAGCCCTTTGCTTTGGGCTTGCCTAGCAGCGGCCTAGATTGCTTTTGCGTGTGCCTTGTTGTCTGGCGGGCACACGAGAAAGCGAGACCCTACGAGGGCAAAGCTGGCGGACTTTGGCGCCGACCGGCTCCGAGTACTTTTGTAGCCGTGCCTTCATGGCAGCCTTGTCCTCCAGCTTCAGCCGTGCGCAGTTTCGGGCAATCGACCTCTTGGGTCATGCTCTGAGTGTGGCACTCGTATGGGAAAACTGCACTTTGCTGCCGTGCGTTGGCAGTCCGAGTCATTGCAGCAGAAACTCGCCGTTGGGTTGCTGTGAGCTCCAGGTCGGATTAGGTTGGAGACCCCAGGGCTGGATGTGCTTACACTCCCCGCCCGAAGATGCGCCCGAAGTACGTGCCAAAGCCAACGTGAGGTATAGTTTTCTTTTAAGCCCACCTCCCTCTCACTCTCTAACTTTACTCAGCCAGAACACGGACTCGAGAGAGAGAGACAGGCAGGGGTGAGCATGTTTCTGCAAACTTGCGCCTTCGCAAGGAAGTACATAGCTGCTATCGGCTAGTCATTCCTCCACTGAAACGCTCAGCTCCGAGCAGTCTCTTGTCCACATGACATGGCGGCACGGCTGCGGCTTTCCCCGCATTACGGCGCCCTGTCCAGGCTGTTCTGAAGTGTGTGGATTCAGGCATAGCCATGTGACCGAAGAGCAGACCTAGAGAGGGCCAGTATTCTCGGACACCGAGCTCTGGACTTTCGAAAAACCAATTTCCCCAAGTTTGAGCCTGGGCAGGCTAGCAGCCGGTGAGGGCGATCCGTCAAAGCTGAGCCAGGAACTTGCAAGAGACACACCGATAAGTGCTTACCGCCGTGTTGGTGCTTCAATCGGCTGATCAGATGTAGCCATTTTCTGTCCATTTCTCTCAGCCGAAGTTGCTGTTCCTTCCAACTCCCTTCCTTCTTTCCTTATCTGCATCGGTTTTGCCGTCTCCGGTGCCAAGCCACTGGCTCAAGGTTATAGCGCCGAGAAGCCTTAGGCTTGTTCAGGTTTCGAGACTACATCATCGATGTTTTGGAAATTTCATGTGTTTTCACCCTCTCAGGTCTAGACGTGGATGCCAAGGCTTGGCAGGGGTTGCATCAGTTGTGTGAGGCAAGCCAGGTAGACAGTGGCAAATGTGCAGCAGCGGCGCGTCAGTTGCCGTTTCGTGCATCCTCGTGCCGCTCGCTGTCGGTGTGGGTCGGCTCCACGCGAGGAGTGCGAAGAGATCGCGGCCATTTGTCGGCACCTGGACCTGAAGATCGAGGCCTGAACTCCATGCGCCACGATTGCGATTCTTCGGGGGGCTGCTCCGTGCAGATTTGAGGAAGCGTGGACAAGGAGGGCGTCAGAGTTTCATTGTTGCTTCGTGTTGAGGTGCTTCCCGCGCCTCCTGGCAGCGCTGCTTCGAAACGGGTCACAGCCACTCGTGCAGCCGACCCATTCGAGGAGGTCCCAAGGGTTGTCTCAACGTGGTGAAGAGCTTTGTTCACCCACGGTGTCGTCTTTGCGTTTCCATTCGGCTGTGCAGTGTGCTGTGATGTGCTGTGAAGCTCCCTTTTCCTGTTGTTTCCTCCTCTCAGGCAGATGCGGAGGTGAAGGTGGAGCCGCGCCCGGCAGCCGTCAGCGGAAAGGTAAGGCTCTGGCCGCGGGGTTTTGAGGAAATCGCATCTGCTTCGTCCTGTTCGGGAGGTTCGCCTGGAGGAGCGCTTCGGACGGAAGCCGCCAAAGCCAGCGGTAGAGGCCCGGGTTGCCGCAGGTTTCGGTGCCCTCCTAAGCATTGCCACTCCTAGGCCGAGACGCTTTTAGAGAAGAGCCAGCTGCCAAAGCTGACCGACTTCTATCGGGCGCTGGTGGATGCCTATCCAGGCTCGTGGCTTCTGCAGTTTGCACATAGGAAAGGCTGCCCACGGCTGTGACCTTCAGAAGTCACTTCCTTGCTGGCAATTAAGGCTCCCTTTAAGACCGTCCAGACAAAGTCCCGGAATACAGCCCTCGACTGCGACAGAACCTTCGGCATTTATGGCATTTACGGATCCTGAGTTCAGCGGCTGTGCAGCAGGCTTCCACGTGCCTCTGGCGAAGCTTCTGACGCAGAACCTTCGAGCTGCGGGGGTCTCCGGGTGCCTTGGCTCTGATGACTCATGCCATGGTGAGAGCCTGCCATCTGTTGACAAGGCTCTCTTCGTCCTCCAGCGATTCAGACTCTGAGGAGCTGCGACTAGTGGTGTCGCAGCCACGATATACAGTTCTCTGAAGCTTTAATATCTGCCAACGACACGCAGCAGCGACGTCACAGTGTGTAGCAGCTACTACAGGACTGTTGATGTTATGGGAGTCTGAATTGCTGGCAATGGCACTATATATGCCGCATCAGGAGAAGAAGAAGAAGAAAAAGCGTTTCGACTGCAACCATAGAGAATTTCCTATGTCCTTGCAGGTCTTGCATGGAATCTGTTGGAAACGGCTTGGTACCGAATCACAGCATCATGCTCTGTGTGGATTAGCAGCTACCAGGAAGAAGAAAAAGCTGAAGAAGGACGGGTCTTTCGGCTGGTGCGGAACTTATGCAAGGCTGATGTTGAAAGCTACAGTTTAAGCCTTCGTGCCGTCCAGGCTTTTGAACGCCTTAGACCTATGACTTCTGCTCTGATGTTTCTACTCATTCTCATGCAACTCGTGCTCGCAAGAGGAGGCCAAGAAGGCTGAAAAGCGCAAGAAGGAGACGGAGGAGGCTGAGGACACGAACACCAAGGAGGAAGAGGAGGAGATGCTGCGAGGGTGTTGTGCTTCTATGACATTATCGTTGAGTTGGAGGTTTAGCCGAAGTCGCAGGAATTCCTTGTTAAAGACCCCCTTTGACAATCTGTATGTAGAGGGCCTCCCTTGATATTTCCCCTTAGCTGAACGCAGGACTTCACGCGTTTAGAGCTCAATGAGAGTTTCAGGCTGTCGGCGGCGAGGGGCATGGCAAAGCCAAGAAAGCAAAAGGCCGCGTTCCTGGCAACCGGACATGTGCGGTCGCGTGGCATTCTGGTGGGCGGGAGTCTGCCCCGAATCCGCTTGAAGCGGCCAGAAGCTAAATAGCCCGTGCGTTATTCTGCTCCCTTGCTCTGGACGCGCTCCAGTCAATTCAACTGCAGTGTTTGGCTTGGAGATTCTATCCAAGGCCCTGTCAAGGTCGTCGATGTGAAGAGCTGCACAGCGGAGGAGGCCTTGCACTAGCTTAATGGCTTAATGCGTGGCGGGGAGTGGACGATCCTTCTGCCAGGTGGATGACGAGTTGCAGAAAGAGCTGGAGTTCGAGAAGAGTAGGCCGGTTGGACTGCAACATGCCCGCTTTTGAAGCTGACCAATCCACTGTGCGCATGACCATAACCCTAAGTCACCCACTACAAAGCTTGATTTCATTTCTACCACACCCTCTTTTTATATCTTTTCATTGGCCCGTTCTGTCTGCATTGTTGCCGGCCTCGTTTGTTTATTATTCTTTTTTGCGGATGATGCAGGGAGGGGGTTGCCGGAGGTTAGTGTGAAACTAGCCTGCGGCGAGTTCGGGCTCCCTGGTGAATCCGCATATTTGAGATGCTTTTCTACCCTGAGAGGACACCCTTGCCGGTACGTAAGACCTAACTGTCCCTGCCTCCATTTCTCGTTTTATCACTCTCTTGTGTGCAACCTGCTCAACAACAGCACGCGCAGCGTATTCATCTGCACCCTCCATGACTCTTTCGGGTACATGGCTTTCTGTGCTGCTTTTCTTTTGGATGTTGCTTTCGTAGTATGTCAAGGCAGTCTTATCATGCCGTCATTTCCCGATACCGTCACGGAAGTTTACCGTTGTTGGTGCTCTTTCTAGTTCCTTGCCAAACAACGGCAGAAGCATCTGTTTTAATTAGATACCTTCGGCTTCCTGCAGGCCGCAGACAAACATAGTGATAGCAGTTCCATACTGAATGTCAACCGTTCCCAATTCTCCAGAACCTTGTAGCCGCAACCATTCGGAAACATATTCACATTCGCCGTCTTCAACACAAACTAACTACCTCTCGTGGGTTATGCTGTCCTGGGGCAATAGGTTGAAGGATTTCACATGCCTTGTGCTGAGGCCGAGACCTCAGAAGCAATGACGCACTCGTGACAGCTTTGACGAAAAACTGCTCCTGCAGTGCGAGTTGGAAATGATTGTCGACGCCGCTGCATTTCATCCGTCTGCCTTTCCTCCAGTCATGTTTGCCTGCTGGGTGACTGGGCTCCAGTAGCTACTGCTGAGTAGTAGCTAACCTTAGATGCAAACTTCACATGTTCTGCTTTGCCTCGCGCAAGGGTGGCATCAGTCGTCGAGTCGTCAATTGTGCATGGTGCGCGTGTCGCACGTTTGCCGGAGTTGGTCAGAAGTTGTCCGTGTGAGTGGTGCCATCTCACAGGCAGAGCCCATTGAAACATGCACTTCTCCGTGACAGATATTTCATGTATTTGCTACAGTGCTGGGCGCAAAGAGCAGAGGCATCTGCAATGCCAGTCACATCTACGACAGCCAGTCACACGTCAGGAGCGCAGCCGACTTAAGCCCGGGCTGGCGTCCTGAATTTTGTGAGTTCGTATTAGTGACGGCCCCATGTCCGCGATTGCAGCCCGTTACTCAGCCATGGTATGCAAGTTGACGCGTCCCCTAGCAGTTCCACACTTCACCGCTTCGAACGTGAACACCCGTCCCAGGCAGACATGAGCTCGCGCTGCCATGACCACGACTCCTTAGCTATTGCTGGTCATCAACCGGAAATCATGCAGGACTTCTGGTTAATCGTGGCTGCGTCGGGTCCCTCTTCCTTGAAGCCCAGCAGAAGAACAATAAGACATAATGCGAGAGCGCCGCAGAGCAGACATTGTGCAGTATCTGTTCTCGCCCAGCGTTTCAGTTTCTAATACAGGCTTTACTGTTTCCATTCGTCCCGCCTTGAGTGCTGGAACAAGAACATTTTTGCTGCGAGGAGCACTGCCAGCATGGCGACCCTGCGGCACCGAAGAGCAAGCGACGGAAAGCCACGAGCCACCCGGAGGCTGCGGGTGAACGTGGATGTGGATGTGGTGATGAACATACTTGTGGGTGACCCTGTAGTTCATCTCGGGTGTTGATTTGATCACGAAATGAACCGGGAAGTGGCAAGGTTAAAACACTGTGCACCAGACCGGTAAATATGAACACTCCAAATTATTTTCAGGCAAAGGCAAGCATGGCAGCGAAGCGGACATCACAGACTTTCGCGAAACCGTGGAGCGAGTCCAGCACATTCTGCAGATTTCTTGTGTAGCTGCAGATCACGCCTGCAAATGTATACTGAGGGGCCAGACGAACAGACGCACGGATCGTTTCTCACGGCCGGAGCCTGCATGCGGACTCCGCTGGAAACTACCGAGTATAGTAGAGCCGGCGCCACAGCTGCAGCGGACAGCAGACACAGTCGTCTCGGCGAACTTCTGTCGATCAGCCCTCGGGTGTCGATTTTGGCGGGCGATCGTTTGTCCCCGAGATGTCGTCGTGTGACACGATCAGGATCGGACGTGCGGCGAAGTCCATGCGGTGACAATCCCTCAAAGGTTTTTGAAATTCCTGTAGAGGCGTGTGACCTAGCGATCGCTTCACTTGGAAGTCTTCATCTTTTGCAAGCCAGACCCGACCGCAAGGAGCCTCAGCGTCTCCGGGCCTGCCTTGCAGGCATCACCCTGGCAGGCACGTATTCCAGGTATGCTTCTGCACAATCTACACATGGCCGAGCCTCACAGTCCGCTAGGTTTGTGGCCCAAGCTGACGTGCCTTCCTGTGCCTGGGCAATGAAGGGCAAGGAAGGGTTCAGGGGTGATCGTTTCCTTGACAGATTTGCTGCGCATTGCGGGGTTCCGAGCTGTTGTCCTTGCTACCCGTGGTCCCGCTGTCCCTGCTTGTAGCAGAGCTTCTGAGTCAAGATCAAGCCAGAGAGCTCCGCCTCACATGCTCCCGGACACGGTAAGTGAGACCTGGACCTCGGATCGATTCTAAAGTGCTTCGGCGGTCGAATGCTCTTGTTTGAGATGTGCGAGTGGATTGCTTCGAAGCCAATTTTCAGCAGCTGAGCTCTAGCGAAGCAGACTGGGACCGAGCTTGAGGATGGGTTCACTCGTTGTGTCTTCAGCTTGTGCGCAGTATGCTCCAGGCTCGGATGGCTTCAGACGAGGAGCCGTGGATGTAATTTGGGGTAGTTGGCATTCGTTTGGTCTGGCCGGCCTGCGCTTGCAATTGGAAGACATCTCTATCTCTGCAAATCCAGACGAAGAATCATAAGAAAATAACGTGCAAAAGCGTTGTGAATGGGCTCGGGAGAGGAAGGTGTCAGCAACCGTAGATTTCACGCTGGCGGTGGGCAGAAGCCAGAATCCAGAGCCCAAGCCAGGAGCTGGTCCTCTGCCATTCCAGGGAGCACCTGGAAGGCCGGGGCCCTGGAGCTTGGCTCTTATTCACTGGTGATATATTCGACGCGGCTAACTAAGTTCAGGGTTCCTTCGCATCATGCATGCACGGTGTGCTGACATGGCTGTGCTGCCGTAGGGAAGTGTGAGGTCAACCGATTCCAAGTTTGAGAGTTGCCGTCGCTTTCCGCTTCAGAGAGGGTTTGAGACTCCGCAGATGCCTAGCGCTTTTTGTCGTGGCGGCTTCGGACTTCGGAGCCTGCGAACAGGCCTCAAGGCAGCTTCCCTGGCCGCTGCACGGCTCAGGCAGGTTCCTAGCGGAGCTCACGGCATGAGCCCAAGCTGAGTGTCTGAGGCGCCCCTTGTGGCTGCCGCCTGGCGGCTGCCTCGATGGAATTGGCGAGGACGACAAGCGTGAGAATTCACCACGTCTAGCATCGCTATGTGTGCAGTTTGCTTGAGAGGAGGCTTTGACGAGCAAGCACCTCGCTGGTCGCGACACCTACATAACAGAGGGATCCCTCGAGGCACTGCCGCCTGCAGCCGCTCACTCTTCAATCCCCAGTGCCAGCCTGAAGTGCGTTGGCCCGTCGAGCCTGAGCCGCCTCAACTCCAGGCCGCGCGCTTTGCTTCAGGTGCCTTGCTGTCGCTGGTAGACGACACCTGGCCGCATCATGGCATCATGATTGACGGTGTTATTTTTGCTGCTGTGTCTTTTGGTTGCGCCAGTCTCCCAATCGTTCAGTCCAACTTGCCATCGAAAGGGTTGGCGCAGTCTGATCAAGGCTGTCTTTTTCGAAGCTGCAAAGGAATGCCTTGGTGGCGGCAGTTTGCAGGGCCTCGCCTTTTGCCGGCCTCCCGGGCATCATGCCGGGCTGAGCAGCAGCACCGGCTTCTGCCTCCTGAACAACGTTGCACTGGCAGCGCAGTATGCAAGGGCCAGGCCGGGAGCACCCGCACCAACAGCTTTGCAAAAAGAAGCAGCCCATGCGCCCGCTTCGCAACTGCAGGTATCCCGATCTCGTGAAGCGCGTCTTGATTTTCGACTGGGATGTCCATCATGGACAAGGGACTCAGGAGATCTTCTGGTCGGACCCTGATGTGCTGTTCGTCAGCATTCATCAGTTCGAGCCGGGCTTCTATCCCAACTCCGGCACAGCAATGGAAACTGGGGCCGGTAAGGGCAAGGGCTATACCATCAACGTCGCAATGCCTCCAGGCTACGGAGATGACTGCTTGTGGCTGGCCTGTGCAAAAGTACTCCTTCCTGCTGCCCGGACTTTCCGGCCAGATTTGGTGCTGGTCAGTGCTGGCTTCGATGCTGTGGAAGGAGATCCACTGGGTGGTGCGACGTGTTCTCCCAGCATCTTTGGCCAGATCACCCGAGAACTCAAGCAGCTGGCCCAAGACCTTTGCCATGGCCGCATCCTCTTTGGCCTTGAAGGGGGATACGCATCAGCCGGGCTTGCGATGTGTGTGGGGAACGTGGCCCAAGCACTGTTGGAACCGAAACAGAGAGGGAACGACGAGCCGTTTGCAATTGAGTCAGACCTCAGCCCGAAGCAGGGTTCCCTGCTCGCGATCTATTCGACCCGCTTAGCACACCAGAAGTTGCCACTCCGTCTGCTGGAAGGCTCCTGCTGTGCTTTGGTACCCTTCGGCACTCGGGCATCCGGCACCATGCGTCCGGAGCCGCGTATAGACAAGCCAGCTGAAAAGTCAGCGAGTACGGGTTGATCGTTATCTGACAGATCTGCCGAGTATGCGAATCTGAGATCGGATCAGCTTCAATAGTATTTGGCCCTGGGGTTCGTAGAAAGCCGAATTTGTGCGGAGCGCTGGGGGCGGAGAGCAAAGGCGCTGAAGATACGGCAGATGCGGTAGCTTGTCGCCTGAAGTCGGTTCTATCGAAAGTCCAATTAGACATTCTTCGCTTCCATGTGTTTCCTCGGGATCCGCCCCTTGATCGAGCAGCGACAGTGGACGTTTGTGTTTGTCCCGCAGCCTTCTGGCCTAGATGATGTAGTGTTGATGTGCGTAGGCCCCGAAAGAAGGCAGGCAAGAGTGCGGTTCACCACCCACTCGTCACATCCACCTGCGCTATTGACTATCGACCCGGTTTCGTGAATTCCGTGTAGAGGTTTTTGCAATAGTAGCACAGCGCTCTCTGGGCGGTGCTCCGCCACAGCGTTTGTCGAGAAGAGTGCAAGCAGCAAGCAATGGCTAACCCCACACCTCACATCATATACCCCCCTACACTTTCACACCATTTCTCAACCCGCCTAAGATTTCAACCGCTCCAAACCCAAAATCAAACAAAAGAACCACACCTCAACCCTTCCCTCTACCTCATAACCCAAACCTCAGCAACACCTGATGCATGACACTATCCTGATATTTTGACAAGCCACCCATGCCAGCCTCTCGGAAGTTTCACTTCGCGGCTCCCATGAAGCGGGGCCTCCGGAAAGCCATGTCCGTTGGGCTGTTGGGCTTGCTCGTGCGGGTGAATGCCATGGGGACAGCCAGCACTGGCATCAATCCGCACGTGGTACCCGCACCAACGGCACCGATAGCTGTGCTGCTTCAGGACCTCTCTGACAGCGCAGACCTGGTGATTAGTCAGACACGTACGACACATGGACAACATGTCAAAGGTATTGTGCGCAGGTGGTGGGAGGACAATGCTGACACAGTCTTCTTGAGAGTTGTCATCGGGCTCGTGGGCGGAGGCGTATGGGCCATTGTCGCGAAGGCAGGGCCTGTCCAAAAGCGCCAGAGCAGAGATGGGTGGTCCTTTGTGTGCGTGTGTGTGCGCGTGTGCCTGTGCAGCTGCGTATTGCGATAACTGTACATTGTTCGTGTGTTGAGCTTTCTTGAACAGTCCCAGTCATCCTGCGGAGGCGCTGAACTCCTTGGAGGTGCACATGCGATGGAGGATTGAAACGGGTTTCGAGACGTACCAAAAACACGGTGACAGACGATGGCTCGACGAACGAGACTTTCATGAAAAGCAGTGGAAGGCATTTCTTGAAAATCACAGCAGGCAGCAACTGTTGCTGCAGCCTCCTGTGCCGGCGGCAAGTTTCCAACGTTGACAGCCGAGCTGGGACCGTGCAGGCAGGGGCTGCCCATGGGTTGAAATTGAGGGCAGGGGGGGAGAAGGTGGTCGAGAAACACAGCTTTCTTGCTGAGACCAGTTTGCCTCGAGGAGCATTCTCACGTTGGCAGCAGTGCCTCCATCGCCAGACAGGCCGGTCTCCTGAATCTGCATCAGTCTCACCACCAGAGAGGCCTGCATAAAATCCTCCTGCATGTGTATCAGCCTGACGTCAGGCTTGTACCAGTACTCCCTCACGCGCTCGCTCATGGGCCTCTGGGTCCGCTGGGGCTCAAAGGCCTCTTGGAGGCCTCTGTTCGGTTTCGGGGGTTTCTTGGGGGCCCTGAACTGCTTTCTGGAACACATCCGCGGCACCGGAAAAAAACACTTGAATCAGATTTAATTCATTTCTGTCCGGAAGCAGCAAAGTGTCCTCGTTAGCATGGTTTTTGCAGCATCTTCCGTCAGCTGCGTTTATTCGTAAGCTAGAGCCTGGCATGCAGAAGCGAGCGCGCAGCCAAACCGACCGGCAAGGTTGTTCGTCTCTGTCGTGAAGGCTGCAGCCAAGAGCCAGACGGATCTTATGTCCACCAATCGGAGTTCCTCAGCTTGGCTGTGCCAGTGCCGGGTTCCCAGGACATGTCCCCAGCATCACGCATTGATCCCATGAGCGCCCAGCTGGCACAGGCACTGCCTACGACATTTTATCAAAAAGGCATTCATTCAGGGGAGAGAGAGAGACAGGCACCTTCTCGGGTACTGTGGCTCTGTAGTGCAGCTTAGGTGATACTGATGCAACTATGCAACTTAAATGGGACTTTGAATTCGACGGGTTCCAGGCCTGGTCGGGGACGCGGTTTATTGATGCCCGATCATGTGTGCCGAAAAGTCGGAGGCGAGCTGAGCATGTTTCCTGCAAAGGGAAAGGCGCTCTGCTGATTGCTTTTTTGATGCTGTGCAGACATGTGCTCCCAGCAGTCCACAAGGAGTTGTTGCAGTGTCTCTGGAGTCACGTCCATCACCCTCGCTCGTCCTGTGACCAGAAAGCCGTGGCCCACCTCGAGTTGCGCTCCCCCCGCTTTACTTCGCAATGGCACGCCTGACCCTGCTGCCTGCTGTGGCCGTGCTGGCCGGCATCTACGGCCTCGCGAGGCGTTTCTTCTGTCAGCACATCCGTTAGAAGACACAGCATGACACATCTGTCATAAGATGCCGCGGCTCCCTGACAGCTTCTGCTTCGTGGGCAGCCCGCAGACGCCCCGCGACTGCAGCCGCGTGCCCGCGCGCGTGAGCGCCGAGTACCTCGAGCGATGCGGGCCCAAGGAGGGGCATCAGAAATCTATGTTCATGCTGAGGGCATCTGAGTGTTGCTAGAATGCTCATGTATCCCGAGGACTCCGATGTGCCCTTTAACGCCGGGGCGGCCTCCGGTGCTGGTGCCTCCGTCGAGTTCAAGAAGCGCCCCTTCGGCATCCTTCGCTACCAGCCAGGCGCGGCAGCTCTCGACCCGGCGTGTCCTCACATGTCTGAGGATTTGTTTTTGTCTTCTCAGGCGAGGGCATGAAGGGCGCCATGGCCATGGAGATCATCCCCAAGTCCCGCTACCCGGGCGACCCCCAGGGCCAGGCCTTCGCTTCAGGCCGAGGGCAGTGAACGTCCAGACATTAGAGCATTGCGGCTTGCGGATGCTACCGGCAGCATGTTTGTTCAGTGAAGTCGAAGCATGAGCTGAGTGAAGAGGTGTGCAGAGCGGCTGGGTTGTGCAGTCCATCAACGGCATGAACGTGCAGAACGAGGAGCGGGGATCAGGGAACCGGGGGAAGATGGGGGAAGATGAAAGAAGACTTCGCTCTGTCTCTGGCAGCGAAGGACTTCGGCAAGATTATGGACATGCTGGACGACGAGGCAGCTGGCCAAGTCTTGCGGGATCGACATGAGACCTTAGAAGCACGAGGTTGCGGACCCTCGGTTCTCTAAGTCCACGGCCTTGGCCCTGGAGAAGCAGGCCAGGGAGAGAGAGGTGAGGTCTCGAGCGGCAGGGGAGCATGCTGTCAGGGTGGTCGCATGGCCGAGCCCGTGGAGGCACCTCTGTCTGTGGTCTTCTCCTCCATCCCAGGCGCACAGGGGCAAGTCACAGCTTGGGAAGGCCCGGTGCAAGTGGACATGTGGGCGCGGGCTGACAGGCTACGTTTACAAGGGCGCTCAGCTGACGGAGGATGGCCAGGATGGCTTCGCCCGCTGAGCACAGCGATGAGCGGCATCCTCTTTTCCTGACGGGTAATTCTCTTGAACGCAGACCTGCGATATCTGTTACTAAATGGCGAGCACGAGGAGCGGCACAGACTTTGTGGATCTTTGTGGTCCCTGCACATGACCGCACCTGTGATCACCTGTGCTTGAGCCATCTTTTGCACCCTTTCTGCGGCTTGGGCTCTTGCAGCTTTTTGACCCCACCCTCCTCGAGTTGCGCTCGTCCCACAGACTTCGCAATGGCACGCCCGACCCTGCTGCCTGCTGTGGCCGTGCTGGCTGGCGTCTACAGCCTCGCGAGGCGTTTCTTCTGTCAGCACATCCGTTAGAAGACACAGCATGACACATCTGTCATAAGATGCCGCCGCTCCCTGACAGCTTCTGCTTCGTGGGCAGCCCGCAGACGCCCCGCGACTGCAGCCGCGTGCCCGCGCGCGTGAGCGCCGAGTACCTCGAGCGATGCGGGCCCAAGGAGGGGCATCAGAAATCTATGTTCATGCTGAGGGCATCTGAGTGTTGCTAGAATGCTCATGTATCCCGAGGACTCCGATGTGCCCTTTAACGCCGGGGCGGCCTCCGGTGCTGGTGCCTCCGTCGAGTTCAAGAAGCGCCCCTTCGGCATCCTTCGCTACCAGCCAGGCGCGGCAGCTCTCGACCCGGCGTGTCCTCACATGTCTGAGGATTTGTTTTTGTCTTCTCAGGCGAGGGCATGAAGGGCGCCATGGCCATGGAGATCATCCCCAAGTCCCGCTACCCGGGCGACCCCCAGGGCCAGGCCTTCGCTTCAGGCCGAGGGCAGTGAACGTCCAGACATTAGAGCATTGCGGCTTGCGGATGCTACCGGCAGCATGTTTGTTCAGTGAAGTCGAAGCATGAGCTGAGTGAAGAGGTGTGCAGAGCGGCTGGGTTGTGCAGTCCATCAACGGCATGAACGTGCAGAACGAGGAGCGGGGATCAGGGAACGGGGGGAAGATGGGGGAAGATGAAAGAAGACTTCGCTCTGTCTCTGGCAGCGAAGGACTTCGGCAAGATTATGGACATGCTGGACGACGAGGCAGCTGGCCAAGTCTTGCGGGATCGACATGAAACCTTAGAAGCACGAGGTTGCGGACCCTCGGTTCTCTAAGTCCACGGCCTTGGCCCTGGAGAAGCAGGCCAGGGAGAGAGAGGTGAGGTCTCGAGCGGCAGGGGAGCATGCTGTCAGGGTGGTCGCATGGCCGAGCCCGTGGAGGCACCTCTGTCTGTGGTCTTCTCCTCCATCCCAGGCGCACAGGGGCAAGTCACAGCTTGGGAAGGCCCGGTGCAAGTGGACATGTGGGCGCGGGCTGACAGGCTACGTTTACAAGGGCGCTCAGCTGACGGAGGATGGCCAGGATGGCTTCGCCCGCTGAGCACAGCGATGAGCGGCATCCTCTTTTCCTGACGGGTAATTCTCTTGAACGCAGACCTGCGATATCTGTTACTAAATGGCGAGCACGAGGAGCGGCACAGACTTTGTGGATCTTTGTGGTCCCTGCACATGACTGCACCTGTGATCACCTGTGCTTGAGCCATCTTTTGCACCCTTTCTGCGGCTTGGGCTCTTGCAGCTTTTTGACCCCACCCTCCTCGAGTTGCGCTCTTCCCACAGACTTCGCAATGGCACGCCCGACCCTGCTGCCTGCTGTGGCCGTGCTGGCTGGCGTCTACAGCCTCGCGAGGCGTTTCTTCTGTCAGCACATCCGTTAGAAGACACAGCATGACACATCTGTCATAAGATGCCGCCGCTCCCTGACAGCTTCTGCTTCGTGGGCAGCCCGCAGACGCCCCGCGACTGCAGCCGCGTGCCCGCGCGCGTGAGCGCCGAGTACCTCGAGCGATGCGGGCCCAAGGAGGGGCATCAGAAATCTATGTTCATGCTGAGGGCATCTGAATGTTGCTAGAATGCTCATGTATCCCGAGGACTCCGATGTGCCCTTTAACGCCGGGGCGGCCTCCGGTGCTGGTGCCTCCGTCGAGTTCAAGAAGCGCCCCTTCGGCATCCTTCGCTACCAGCCAGGCGCGGCAGCTCTCGACCCGGCGTGTCCTCACATGTCTGAGGATTTGTTTTTGTCTTCTCAGGCGAGGGCATGAAGGGCGCCATGGCCATGGAGATCATCCCCAAGTCCCGCTACCCGGGCGACCCCCAGGGCCAGGCCTTCGCTTCAGGCCGAGGGCAGTGAACGTCCAGACATTAGAGCATTGCGGCTTGCGGATGCTACCGGCAGCATGTTTGTTCAGTGAAGTCGAAGCATGAGCTGAGTGAAGAGGTGTGCAGAGCGGCTGGGTTGTGCAGTCCATCAACGGCATGAACGTGCAGAACGAGGAGCGGGGATCAGGGAACCGGGGGAAGATGGGGGAAGATGAAAGAAGACTTCGCTCTGTCTCTGGCAGCGAAGGACTTCGGCAAGATTATGGACATGCTGGACGACGAGGCAGCTGGCCAAGTCTTGCGGGATCGACATGAGACCTTAGAAGCACGAGGTTGCGGACCCTCGGTTCTCTAAGTCCACGGCCTTGGCCCTGGAGAAGCAGGCCAGGGAGAGAGAGGTGAGGTCTCGAGCGGCAGGGGAGCATGCTGTCAGGGTGGTCGCATGGCCGAGCCCGTGGAGGCACCTCTGTCTGTGGTCTTCTCCTCCATCCCAGGCGCACAGGGGCAAGTCACAGCTTGGGAAGGCCCGGTGCAAGTGGACATGTGGGCGCGGGCTGACAGGCTACGTTTACAAGGGCGCTCAGCTGACGGAGGATGGCCAGGATGGCTTCGCCCGCTGAGCACAGCGATGAGCGGCATCCTCTTTTCCTGACGGGTAATTCTCTTGAACGCAGACCTGCGATATCTGTTACTAAATGGCGAGCACGAGGAGCGGCACAGACTTTGTGGATCTTTGTGGTCCCTGCACATGACTGCACCTGTGATCACCTGTGCTTGAGCCATCTTTTGCACCCTTTCTGCGGCTTGGGCTCTTGCAGCTTTTTGACCCCACCCTCCTCGAGTTGCGCTCTTCCCACAGACTTCGCAATGGCACGCCCGACCCTGCTGCCTGCTGTGGCCGTGCTGGCTGGCGTCTACAGCCTCGCGAGGCGTTTCTTCTGTCAGCACATCCGTTAGAAGACACAGCATGACACATCTGTCATAAGATGCCGCCGCTCCCTGACAGCTTCTGCTTCGTGGGCAGCCCGCAGACGCCCCGCGACTGCAGCCGCGTGCCCGCGCGCGTGAGCGCCGAGTACCTCGAGCGATGCGGGCCCAAGGAGGGGCATCAGAAATCTATGTTCATGCTGAGGGCATCTGAGTGTTGCTAGAATGCTCATGTATCCCGAGGACTCCGATGTGCCCTTTAACGCCGGGGCGGCCTCCGGTGCTGGTGCCTCCGTCGAGTTCAAGAAGCGCCCCTTCGGCATCCTTCGCTACCAGCCAGGCGCGGCAGCTCTCGACCCGGCGTGTCCTCACATGTCTGAGGATTTGTTTTTGTCTTCTCAGGCGAGGGCATGAAGGGCGCCATGGCCATGGAGATCATCCCCAAGTCCCGCTACCCGGGCGACCCCCAGGGCCAGGCCTTCGCTTCAGGCCGAGGGCAGTGAACGTCCAGACATTAGAGCATTGCGGCTTGCGGATGCTACCGGCAGCATGTTTGTTCAGTGAAGTCGAAGCATGAGCTGAGTGAAGAGGTGTGCAGAGCGGCTGGGTTGTGCAGTCCATCAACGGCATGAACGTGCAGAACGAGGAGCGGGGATCAGGGAACCGGGGGAAGATGGGGGAAGATGAAAGAAGACTTCGCTCTGTCTCTGGCAGCGAAGGACTTCGGCAAGATTATGGACATGCTGGACGACGAGGCAGCTGGCCAAGTCTTGCGGGATCGACATGAGACCTTAGAAGCACGAGGTTGCGGACCCTCGGTTCTCTAAGTCCACGGCCTTGGCCCTGGAGAAGCAGGCCAGGGAGAGAGAGGTGAGGTCTCGAGCGGCAGGGGAGCATGCTGTCAGGGTGGTCGCATGGCCGAGCCCGTGGAGGCACCTCTGTCTGTGGTCTTCTCCTCCATCCCAGGCGCACAGGGGCAAGTCACAGCTTGGGAAGGCCCGGTGCAAGTGGACATGTGGGCGCGGGCTGACAGGCTACGTTTACAAGGGCGCTCAGCTGACGGAGGATGGCCAGGATGGCTTCGCCCGCTGAGCACAGCGATGAGCGGCATCCTCTTTTTCAGACGTGTACGGCTCTTTAACGCAGGCTCCTGCTCTTTTCAATCGGGCAACTGCTGGAGCCGCGGCGTCCAATGTAGAGCCCAAAGACTTACCTTATGCGAAGAGAAAAGGCATTCCCTGCCGAAGCTAAGCTGTTGAAGCAGGTTTTCGACACGTGCCGCGAGTAACTACGAGCGGCTTTGGCAAGCCGAAAGCCGAGTCGGCAAGTGCCATGCGCCTGGGCAGGTGCCGATTCCTGGCTTTCAGTTTCGCAAGATCTCCCTGGAGATGTTGGAAAGAGATTCTGCCAAGAGACCGTGCATGTCGGCAGCTGATAGCGGCACCATTGTAGAGTTATATGAAATTATTGTAAACATGCCGATCACATCATGGCCCTAGGACGTTTGGCCTCGTGGAGAGCGATGCGACGAAGAGTGCCATCATGCGCCAGCACCGGGTGCCTTGCAAAGTATTCGCACAGACTGCAAGTTCTTGGTGCTCTCCACGGAACCTTGAGGGTCGGGGGTTTGTCAGGAAGGTATTGCGACCGTAGTCATGCCCGATGTCTTCGATCCCACCAAGACAGCGTCTAGCCGTCCTCCAACATTGAAGCTTCCGGGCCCAGTACAGAAACTCGCCTCATCGAGTGTCTGCAATAGCAGCAAAAGGGCTATCTGGGGCCTCCACCAGTGAAAACTGCAAGCAGCGCCCCGAAAGGTTGCCCAACGTACTTGTCGATTCCTCAGAATGTCTAACGCTGTCTGCTAGCTCGAGTCTCTTGTTCCGTTTGCACAAGCTTTGTTCGATTCTCAGCAAGTGTTGCATTGGAACAGATGCAAGTTGTTGTTGCACTCAGAGTAGATCACTGGGCTTCTGCTAGCCTACCAAGGCGCCCAGATCGTAGAGATGGAGCCAAGGCGGGCTCGACTTTCAATAGTCTCCAGAGAGTTTCACCTTGCAGAGAGCCCCGTTACACTAAGCCGCTAAGCAGAGGCATAGCTCTTCACACCACCGCCACTGGATATCATAGGACAAATTGCAACCAAGGTGTCAAAGTTCTTTGACTGTCGCTGTCAGGCCTTGCACCCAACCTGAACCAGGGCTCACCCCTTCATCGCAGCCAAGCAAGTCCAGTGTGAAGTCAGTGCGAAGCGTGTGGAGGATCCGATGTGTTGCATGAGAGCGGCTCAGCCCGCATTATGTCTCCTGTATAACGGAAGCTAGATCACGAAGATTCACGAGGCACGGGATATGTGATACAGTATAGTATAGTCCATGCCACTTGCGACGCCCTAGTACTGCCCTACTAGTAGCATCAAAAGATATCAAAAGCGCAACTTGCCAGCCCAGAACGAAAGCTGCAATCCCCGCTGAGAAGGTGCCGAAGCTGTTGGTCCTCTTTGCACTGGCCTCTACGCAACCGGGCAGCATCAACATATCTCCTTCCGAGGTGCTTGTCAAAACGGCATTACCGCAGGCGAAAGAAACAGGCACCTTGCACGCCGGCTCTCAGGTATTGTTGCGTATCGAAGGCAGCTTAGGATTTAAGCGGGCGCAATTTGATTTGGACTGTGAATTCGGCAGGTTCTATGCTTGGCATATGACGCGGTTCAGTGCTCCGATCATGTGTGTCGATCAATCCTCAGGTTCTGTTCCGAAAAGTCGGATACGAGCTGATCATGTCCCATGCAAAGGGAAAGGCGCTCTGCTGGTTCCTTCTTTTTGATGCTATGGAGACATGTGCTCCCAGCAGTCCGCAAGGTGTTGTTGCAGAGTCTCTTGAGTCAGGTCCATCGCCTTCGCTCGCCCTGTGTCTCGCATCGTCTCACGTGCAATCGCTTGAAAGTGTTCACGTGACCAGAAAGCCGTGGCCCGCCTCGAGTTGCGCTCCCCCGCTTACTTCGCAATGGCACGCCCGACTCTGCTGCCTGCTGTCGCCGTGCTGGCTGGCGTCTACAGCCTCGCGAGGCGTTTCTTCTGTCAGCACATCCGTTAGAAGACACAGCATGACACATCTGTCATAAGATGCCGCGGCTCCCTGACAGCTTCTGCTTCGTGGGCAGCCCGCAGACGCCCCGCGACTGCAGCCGCGTGCCCGCGCGCGTGAGCGCCGAGTACCTCGAGCGATGCGGGCCCAAGGAGGGGCAGCAGAATTCTAAGTTCATGCTGAGGGCATCTGAGTGTTGCTAGAATGCTCATGTATCCCGAGGACTCCGATGTGCCCTTTAACGCCGGGGCGGCCTCCGGTGCTGGTGCCTCCGTCGAGTTCAAGAAGCGCCCCTTCGGCATCCTTCGCTACCAGCCAGGCGCGGCAGCTCTCGACCCGGCGTGTCCTCACATGTCTGAGGATTTGTTTTTGTCTTCTCAGGCGAGGGCATGAAGGGCGCCATGGCCATGGAGATCATCCCCAAGTCCCGCTACCCGGGCGACCCCCAGGGCCAGGCCTTCGCTTCAGGCCGAGGGCAGTGAACGTCCAGACATTAGAGCATTGCGGCTTGCGGATGCTACCGGCAGCATGTTTGTTCAGTGAAGTCGAAGCATGAGCTGAGTGAAGAGGTGTGCAGAGCGGCTGGGTTGTGCAGTCCATCAACGGCATGAACGTGCAGAACGAGGAGCGGGGATCAGGGAACCGGGGGAAGATGGGGGAAGATGAAAGAAGACTTCGCTCTGTCTCTGGCAGCGAAGGACTTCGGCAAGATTATGGACATGCTGGACGACGAGGCAGCTGGCCAAGTCTTGCGGGATCGACATGAGACCTTAGAAGCACGAGGTTGCGGACCCTCGGTTCTCTAAGTCCACGGCCTTGGCCCTGGAGAAGCAGGCCAGGGAGAGAGAGGTGAGGTCTCGAGCGGCAGGGGAGCATGCTGTCAGGGTGGTCGCATGGCCGAGCCCGTGGAGGCACCTCTGTCTGTGGTCTTCTCCTCCATCCCAGGCGCACAGGGGCAAGTCACAGCTTGGGAAGGCCCGGTGCAAGTGGACATGTGGGCGCGGGCTGACAGGCTACGTTTACAAGGGCGCTCAGCTGACGGAGGATGGCCAGGATGGCTTCGCCCGCTGAGCACAGCGATGAGCGGTATCCTCTTTTCCTGACGGGTAATTCTCTTGAACGCAGGCTCCTGCTCTTTTCAATCGGGCAACTGCTGGAGCCGCGGCGTCCAATGTAGAGCCCAAAGACTTACCTTATGCGAAGAGAAAAGGCATTCCCTGCCGAAGCTAAGCTGTTGAAGCAGGTTTTCGACACGTGCCGCGAGTAACTACGAGCGGCTTTGGCAAGCCGAAAGCCGAGTCGGCAAGTGCCATGCGCCTGGGCAGGTGCCGATTCCTGGCTTTCAGTTTCGCAAGATCTCCCTGGAGATGTTGCGCCGGGGTTTGCAATGGTACAGGCTGAGGTGAGCATACAGATTCGGGGGATGTTCTGTTTGAAAAGGATTCTGCCAAGAGACCTAGAACGTTTGGCTTCGGTGGCCTCGTGGAGAGCGATGCGACGAAGAGTGCCATCACCGGATGCCTTGGGAAGTTTCTGCACAGACTGCAAGTGCCTGCACTGTTGGAACCGCCGAAACAGAGAGGGAACGACGAGCCGTTTGCAATTCCGGACCCGTAGAGGTTTGGAAGACCTCTTCTGGGAGGTGTGGCAACCTTTTGTTTCAGTGCTCACACCTTGCCACCTTGCTAGAACCATGCAGCAATGCATGGCGTCTCTCCCAACTGCGCCACTCAACCCAAGGTGAAAATTTGCAGGCACCAGTGGTGTGCACGCTGTTGAGCCAAAAGGCAACAGACAGGTGAAAAGCATGACTATCACACATAACATGGATGGACTGGTCATAAGAATCCCCATAGAAACGCTGTAGTGAAGCCTACATGCAGAACACGCAAGGGAATCCAAGATCATCATGTCGAAGTTTCTGGGTGCGTATGTGAATAGTGGCATTTTCGCTCTGCAGCTTTGCACACTCCGAGCTCCACAGACTTTGCCGCACGTCTACACGTTGCCATCCTAGGGTGATGGCCGGGGCCTTGTTTAGGACTGCTGGCTGCTGCTTTTGGGCATGAATGAAAGCAACAACTCTGATAATGACTGGAAGTCGATTGCGTTACGTTGACCCATGGGTTTACGTTGTGGTTCCACGTTCCGATCGGGACTTCTTAGCCTTTGCCTGAACCGGTGTGTTCAAGGGTGTCTGGAAAGCTTAGTAGCTTTCGGAAGGGTCGGTCTCGCTTTTTCACAGCTACCATTAAACATTCTTCGCCTTGATATGATACCGTCTTTCTCCAACTTTCCTCAGGATCTGCTCGTTGGGCATGCCGTGGTCCCTTCACCGAGCAGCGACAGTGGACGTGTGTGCTCGCCCCGCAGCCGTGTGGCCTAGATGATGTAGTGGTGATGTGCGTGGGCCCCAACAAAAGTTGCTGAAGGCAGGCAAGAGTGCAGTTCACCACCTGGACTTGAGACATCCAGCTGCACTTTCGAGTCTGTTTCGTGAATTATGTGTAGAGGCTTCCGCAGTAGCAACAAAGCGCTATCTGGGCCGTGCTCCACCAGAGCGTTTGTCGAGAAGAGTGCAAGCAGCGCCCCGAAAGGCTGCCCAATGTACTGGTCGATTCCTCAGAACGTTTTATGCTGTCTGCTAGCCAAGCAAAGCTTCAGTCTCTTGTTCCGTTTGCACAAGCTTTGTTCGATTCTCAGCAAGTGTTGCATTGGAACAGATGCAAGTTGTTGTTGCACTCAGAGTAGATCACTGGGCTTCGGCTAGCCTACCAAGGCGCCCAGATCGTAGAGATGGAGCCAAGGCGGGCTCGACTTTCAATAGTCTCCAGAGAGTTTCACCTTGCAGAGAGCCCCGTTACACTAAGCCGCTAAGCAGAGGCATAGCTCTTCACACCACCGCCACTGGATATCATAGGACAAATTGCAACCAAGGTGTCAAAGTTCTTTGACTGTCGCTGTCAGGCCTTGCACCCAACCTGAACCAGGGCTCACCCCTTCATCGCAGCCAAGCAAGTCCAGTGTGAAGTCAGTGCGAAGCGTGTGGAGGATCCGATGTGTTGCATGAGAGCGGCTCAGCCCGCAATATGTCCCCTGCATAACGGAAGCCAGATCACATGGACTCTTGGACTCATTCACACGAGTCAGGTGAGGTCAGTGATGTGTCATACAGTCCTTGCCACCCGACGCCTTGTCATGCGAAACACATCTTGCAGCGAAGGGCGGCATACCCCACAGCTAGCCAGCCCAGAACGGATGCTGCAATCCATGCTGCGAAGGTGCCGAAGCTTTTGATGCTCTTCGCACTGGCCTCTACGCAACGCAGCAGCATTGAAGCATCTCATTCCCAGGGGTTTTGCAGCAGCTTCTGTCTGTTGCTTTTATTCGTAAGTCATTCGAGAGAGGGCCTGGCAGACACAAGCGAGCACGCAGCCAACCCGGCCGGCGAGGTTGTTCCTCTCTGTCGTGAAGGCTGGAGCCAAGAGTCCACCAATCGGCCTTCCTGAGCTTGGCTGTGAAAGTGCCGGGTTCGCAGGACATGTCCTTGGCATTAAGCATTGATCCCGTGAGCACCCAGCTGGCACAGGCACCGCCCACGACGTTTTTGTCAAAGAGGCATCACCACAGGGGAAAGAAACAGGCACCTTCCCTACCGGGTCTCAGGTACTGTTGCTTGCAAGGCGGCTTGGGCTCAGGATTTGCGGGTACAGCTTGATTTGGACAGTGAGTCCGGCGGGTTCTATGTCTGGCATAGGACGCGGGTCAGTGCTCCCCGATCATGTGCGTCGATCAATCCTCAGGTTTTGTTCCGAAAATTCGGATACGAGCTGATCATGTCCCCTGCAAAGGGAAAGGCGCTCTGCTGGTTCCTTCTTTTTGATGCTATGGAGACATGTGCTCCCAGCAGTCCGCAAGGTGTTGTTGCAGAGTCTCTTGAGTCAGGTCCATCGCCTTCGCTCGCCCTGTGTCTCGTATTGTCTCACGTGCAATCGCTTGAAAGTGTTCACGTGACCAGAAAGCCGTGGCCCGCCTCGAGTTGCGCTCCCCCGCTTACTTCGCAATGGCACGCCCGACTCTGCTGCCTGCTGTCGCCGTGCTGGCTGGCGTCTACAGCCTCGCGAGGCGTTTCTTCTGTCAGCACATCCGTTAGAAGACACAGCATGACACATCTGTCATAAGATGCCGCGGCTCCCTGACAGCTTCTGCTTCGTGGGCAGCCCGCAGACGCCCCGCGACTGCAGCCGCGTGCCCGCGCGCGTGAGCGCCGAGTACCTCGAGCGATGCGGGCCCAAGGAGGGGCAGCAGAATTCTAAGTTCATGCTGAGGGCATCTGAGTGTTGCTAGAATGCTCATGTATCCCGAGGACTCCGATGTGCCCTTTAACGCCGGGGCGGCCTCCGGTGCTGGTGCCTCCGTCGAGTTCAAGAAGCGCCCCTTCGGCATCCTTCGCTACCAGCCAGGCGCGGCAGCTCTCGACCCGGCGTGTCCTCACATGTCTGAGGATTTGTTTTTGTCTTCTCAGGCGAGGGCATGAAGGGCGCCATGGCCATGGAGATCATCCCCAAGTCCCGCTACCCGGGCGACCCCCAGGGCCAGGCCTTCGCTTCAGGCCGAGGGCAGTGAACGTCCAGACATTAGAGCATTGCGGCTTGCGGATGCTACCGGCAGCATGTTTGTTCAGTGAAGTCGAAGCATGAGCTGAGTGAAGAGGTGTGCAGAGCGGCTGGGTTGTGCAGTCCATCAACGGCATGAACGTGCAGAACGAGGAGCGGGGATCAGGGAACCGGGGGAAGATGGGGGAAGATGAAAGAAGACTTCGCTCTGTCTCTGGCAGCGAAGGACTTCGGCAAGATTATGGACATGCTGGACGACGAGGCAGCTGGCCAAGTCTTGCGGGATCGACATGAGACCTTAGAAGCACGAGGTTGCGGACCCTCGGTTCTCTAAGTCCACGGCCTTGGCCCTGGAGAAGCAGGCCAGGGAGAGAGAGGTGAGGTCTCGAGCGGCAGGGGAGCATGCTGTCAGGGTGGTCGCATGGCCGAGCCCGTGGAGGCACCTCTGTCTGTGGTCTTCTCCTCCATCCCAGGCGCATAGGGGCAAGTCACAGCTTGGGAAGGCCCGGTGCAAGTGGACATGCGGGTGCGGGCTGACAGGCTACGTTTACAAGGGCGCTCAGCTGACGGAGGATGGCCAGGATGGCTTCGCCCGCTGAGCACAGCGATGAGCGGCATCCTCTTTTTCAGACGTGTACGGCTCTTTAACGCAGGCTCCTGCTCTTTTCAATCGGGCAACTGCTGAAGCCGCCGGCTTCCAATTTAGAGCCCAAAGACTTACCTTATGCGAAGAGAAGAAGGCATTCCCTGCCGAAACTGGCCGAAGCTGAGCTGCGGAAGCCGGTTTTCGACATGTGCCGCAAGCAACTACGAGCGGCTTTGGCGCACCGACAGCCGAGTGGGCAAGTGCCATGCGCCTGGGCAGGTGCCGATTCCTGGCTTTCAGTTTCGCAAGATCCCCCTGGAGCTGTTGCGCCGGGGTTTGCAATGGTTCGGGCTTTTCACAGATTGGATTGGGGGATGTACAGTAAGCTATTACACCCCTCGTTTTGGTTCAGTCAAGTTCCTTGCAACGAGATTCGGTCAAGGATAATTTCATGTTCATTGTGCGGGTCAGGCGTCCATGCATGGCGATAGCTGATGGTGGCACCATTGTAAGACGCTGTGTGGAACATGCCGATCGCATCATTTGCCGAGAACGTTTGGTTTCGGTGGCCTCGCGGAGAGCGATGCGACGAAGAGTGCCATCACCGGGTGCCTCAGACTGCAAGTGCCGGTTGCGCTCTAAGCAGGAGGGCATTCGGCCATGCTAAACTAGTGAGACTTCAGCATGATATTGTGGAGGTTTCCGTTCACCACCGACAACACCGTCTCTCTGCAGCTTGGGGCCCAGAAAATTCGTGCGCTGTGAGCGCAAAATCGGAGCCCGCCGCTCGGAGCGGCCCGCCGGCGGAGCCCGCACGGGGGCTGCAAAGGTTGGGCTTCCCTCGCATTGGCGGCGGCTTCCGGCTCGGCCTGGAGGCTCCCGGCTCTCGGCCTCCGAATTAGGAGGCGCTTTCTCTATAGGCTTTAACTGTAGGACCTTGATCTAGAACAAGTCAAGCCGCTTGCCCCCCCCCCCCCATCGCATGGGTGGCAGACCCATGCCCATCCTCTCGGACTCTTGCAAAGGAAGCTTGGTCCTCGCCGCAAGCTGGTTCTTAGACGTTGGGCAGTTCTTTCAGTTGCTGTCCAGTGCTTCCGCGGTGGGGGTTCAACTGGGCTCAAAACATCGTCGCCCTGCAGGACCCTGCTCTGAGTGCGGAGGGAGCGGACAGCACACAGCAGCTGCTCTCCATGGGCTATCAGCAGCGGCTTCCAGGCCCCCTGTGGTAGTGAGCTGCGAGAAGCATGACGTCTCGTCATCTGTAGCGCTAGGGCCCTAGGGAGGCCAAATGATACCCTTATTATGCGGCCTTGTCCCGTGCAGCATGTAACGGGCCACAGATACGCAACATGTAAGACGGTAAGGTATGCGCGTACTACAAGTACCATCATGAGTCATGCCTGAACTTTCATTCGTTCTCCGACAGGCGGCGGTCAGCTCGCCTCGTGGCTGAAAACCACAGGCGAGTGGGGCGCGGCCTTCCGCCACGAGGTTCCGCAGCTTTTGCAGTTTGGTTTTACTGGGCGTTTCACTTTTGCAAACGATCTTGAAGCAGCTGCCATGAAGTCCCAATGGAAGCTTCGGCACTTCCCATACTGACAATGCCTTTAGGTGGAGGACATCGGAATTGTCACCGGCGGGTTGAACTCGCAATTGGATTGGAATCTGGACCTGAACACGAGCCTCGGCAAATCAAACTAGAGGGGAAACTTTCCCACAGGGACGTCACCCGATAGGTAGTGGCACCAAATGTGACGTGGGACTACTCTGTGCAACCGGCAGTCTGCACCGCCGCCCCTCGTAGATCGCCGATAGGTGATGATATGTGCCTTCTTGGGAGGGCCTGACGAGGGTTCTCCACAGCAGCTGTCTCAGGACATATCCCACAGCCGGTCGCTCAGCTCGCCGTGTTACTTGTAATTAGCGGTGCGAACCGAGGCCAGATACAAGCTCTGTGTCTACAGGTTTACTGCACTATATTTTTGATCCTGTGTTGAAGTTATGAGTTGTAGTCAAACATGCCGGAGTCTGGATGTGAAGTGCAGCAGGCTGGGCATGAGGGCATGTGCACTGCAGCCGGTCCCCAGAAAAGTCCAAACTTGTTGCCTCCGCTTCACACGACTTCGCAGCACTGCCAGAGCATGAAGCCAGGTTAAAGGCTTCACTCCCAGTGTATCATATGGCGCCACGCAGGACCTGCGTGACATGTGAGGTGGCGAGTGCTAGTTGTCAGAGATAACCGAACGACAGCTTACCTGCTGCCGCTGGCTGATGATGGTTCAAGAAATCTACATGCAGTCTCGCTGGAGCGTAGCTGGTAACGAGTGGTTGATGCAAGCTGCACCGCTAGACTAGCACTCCTCGCTTCCCAGGACGGCATGCGTGTGAATGCCCGCGTGGACAAAGACATCTCCAAGCGTTGGCATACGAGCTACAACGTGCAGAACATCCCGGGGAAGTGCTCCTGGGTGGTGTGGGTATAAACCATGCTTGAGACTCGAGATTGGGCCATGCCAATGCAGTGCTCTCTTCGGTGTGAGTCTTTCAGCAGGTACTCGCCTGTGGACTTTGTACATGATGGCCATCGACCTGAGAAGATCCCGTCCGTAAAGATAGGACTAGTGATCTATGGTGAGCTTTGTTGCGTTACGCCAGGTTGTGACAAGGCCTCCGCACAGACAACACTGGTTGGACATGTTTTGGATCCTGCGCACATCGCCCGCACGACTGTAGGCTCAAGTAGTTCAACCAAACTGCATGAACAACCATGGACAACCACACTCCCTGAATCCGAAAGCCTCGGCCGAGGTGTGGTCCGGTTCGCATCAGGACCACACACTCTGCAGGCGCGACCCTGAGCGTGTGCATCGGAGCAGGAGAGAGGAACTACAGGAATATGCCAATCCCGAGCTGCAGGCAACTGCAAGCTACGACCGCCAGCTTTTGCCACTTGGTCGACTTGCAGAGCGATTGGGCACTCTTCCTTTCACCAGGAATCAGAATGAGCGGCCGCATGCCTCCACGAAGGGCAGCGAAGTGCCCCAATAGCCAAGGAAGAAACCTTTGCAAGGATCCATGTCATACACGTTCCAGAAGAGGCCGCCGGGCCGGATCTTGGGAGGTTTCTGAAGTCGCATGTCACGTCCGACGTGCCACGTCTTTCGTAGTCTGCTGTTCTTGCTTCGGAAGGCGGATGGCGCTCCGGGCTTTGTTGGATTCCCAGCGCTATCAGCTCGCGCTGCAAGCGGGTCCTGCACAGGCGGGTGCCGCAGTTCCCACAAGCTTGACCCAACCACTGTCGCAACTATGGCTTGTCAAACTTGAACAGGAATCTGCCGCACGTGTCACCGTCACCCCAACATGTACCATATAGCATACACTTAGACACATATTCGAGATTTTCAAGAGCTACAAACAGCTACAAAGCCTCTGTGCCTCCGTGGATGTCTGTAGCCAGGTGGCTGCCTCCCGACCCTTATCCGCCGATGAGGACACCGAAAGTTCAGGCTTAGGGTGTGATGGCTCAATAGAAACTTCGGACTCGTCAGGAACCCTACGGTGGGTTTCTTGGCTGTCTGCACACTTGGACATGCTTGGACAGCATGCAGTTTCGTAGGGGTACTAACCAGCTCTTCAGATCTACTCCTGAACTGGGCTCCGGAGCAAACGGTCAGAGATGCCTAGCATGCAACGTTGACGTCGAAGCTGCTGGGTACCATGTCAGGTAAACACGTTCTTCGTCAACTAAAAGTGGCGGAAGCATCTTAGGATATATAGTTCCTGCAGTCTCACAAGGCATGCATCTACGTTCGTAAGATGAAGGATGGCAAGCGCCCGACTCACCTGGAGGTGCGCGTTGGTCAGGCCCGGTTTCGGAGAATATTGGAGACGTGCAGACGTGTTTAGCAACCGCAAAGATAAGCAGGAGACCGTGCCGTTGCTGTCCACAAGATCTTCCAGAAATGAAGTTCGTGAGACTCGAAGGGCCAACAATCATGTGTGCAACCTGTGAACACCATGAGTCATGGCTCCAATCCTCGAGTTACAGACGTTGAACCAGGTATGCAGGCTCTGCTAGAAGCATTCGGCAAAGCCGTCAGTCTGGCCTAAAAAAGCTGCTGACACTCTGAGAACGGTAGTTTCTACAACCGGACGGTTCAAGTTCTATTGCATGAACTTGAAACCTTAACGCCCCGAACCAAACTCGTTGGACGCTCGCGACAAAGCTCATCCCACAGGTCTTAAGTCGATGGGGCACCGGCTGATTGGCCGAAGCTCTCAACGCTGACTTCTCCGCTTAAAAAGTGGGAGCTGCGGTGGAAGGGCAGTCCTGCAAGACCTTTCCACGGGTTATAGACAAGGCTTTACAGGTCACGGCATAGGAAGAATCCAATCATTATTCTCCCAAGCCCGACTCTGACGCGCTTCTAGCAGAAAGGAGGGTGCATGACTCAGAGACCCATGACCAGTTAGGACACCTCAACCACTTGAACTTGGCAGCCGACTTGGCTCCAAGAAGTGCGTAGGGCCGGTGAGGCCATGTTAAAAGGCCGGCCGCATGGGGGATACTTTTTCTTTCTCCGAGATGCGCCCTGAGCGTCGAGCGACCTTGTCAGGCAGCCAAGGTTATCGCCTGCCAGCCTTGGCCATTCTTCAAGAGGCGAGGGAGTTCGTGCAGCCGCTGGCCTTATGTGGAAAGATGACGGCGGCCCGTAATTCATGGTCGTTGGTGTCTTTGAGATGCAGGAGTCGTATTCACGATGTCGTCCTGCTTGGATTGGGATTCAAGGTCTGTCTTGCTGCCGGGGTGCTTGACGCTGTATCGTAGGACGTCATCTGCATGTTCGCTTGGATTGCAATCTTGGGCAATCCAGTCATGCACTGCAAGACTGGAACAATACCGCAACCCAACACCGACAGGTGCGATTTGGACTCCTGAAGCCTACGCGCGAGCCCCACGCTGCTTAAGGAAGTGCGAGCTCGGGGAGGCGGGAGGATCGGCCACGGACTGTGCCTGGGCCACTCATAGTCTGTTAATCTCTTTGTCTCATCCCGGGTTGGTTTTTTCTGACGACAGGCACGTCGCCGAGCACTGACGCCTTTTGAGGTCAGTGAAGAGCGCGGGAGGTTTGCCAAATCTCATCCCAAGTCCTATAGGACTGTAGGGGCGTTCTGGAGAACTCCGAGGCTTCCGGGCCGCGAGTGCGGCGAGCCTCGCGACCACCGACGCTTAGCTCCGCTTGGCAGAGGGGCTGCGGGTGTTTAGGCATGGTGCTCTGAGGCTCTTGGTTATGATCTGTTGGAACTTCAGCCAATCGCGGCATAGAGCCGAGGCAACTCCCAGTGGAAGTGGGGCCGGCACAGGTGACTCGTCGCGTTGCATCATACATGGCTGAAGCCGGAATTCAAGATCAGCCGATCATGCATGCTCTAGCCTTCATGTTCCAGCGCACGGACAGCAATGAACCGGTGGTCCCAGTTTGGACCCATGACGACACGTCAGATTATCGTCTCGAGTCGTCTCTGCCATGCTCCAGCGACTTTTGGCTGATTTCTCTTTGCGGCTAAGCAGGCTGCAGCTCTTGGAGCTTCGGCCTCTCCGGGCTCCGTTTGCCCCCGATTGAACGGAGGAGGGACTCGGCGCTACCGCCGTTGAGTGCGCCTCGGCTGTGTCAGCGCGGAATGTGCAGACTCCACTGCCACTGTGCTCTCCACCAAGTGCTTTTGGAGATGAGTTGCAGCGCGTGCATGTCCAGAAAGACATCCGCCGAGGCGCAGAAATCCAGACGGCGGAAGCGCAAGTCGTCTCTCAGCAGAACATAGCAGAACCGCATGTACCCTTTTGCCAGTTTCTATCGTGCAGTGGGCACTGGCACCGAAGTCCGAACATCTGCAAAACCCATGTCGGAGCCCGTGCGAGCATCTCTTAAGGCTCTCCAAGTCGTCCACAGCGGGTAGCACTACGTGCCCGCTAAGCTCTTCTGCAGGCACTCTTACAGGCACCACTTGCATAGATCGTGGCTCCCATTGTACAAGTCGTCAAGCCGCAGCCTTCGCTGGTGAGCTGCAGCCTCGGCATCCAGGCACCTTGTTTCAGGGCAAGAAGTTCGAATGGATCCGCGGTCAACTGCTGGGCCGTGGCGCGACGCTAGGTCTGAAGCACCATCTCCAAGCACGAAATCCCAAATTCCAAATACAAGCTGTCTCGGAGATGTGAAAATGGTCGAGTTTGGAGTAACCGAGGATGGGTTCCGTTTGGATGGCAACCGACCGCCACACGGGCCAGAAGATGGCTGTCAAAGAGGCTGGGCTCGGCTCGTAACTGACCAACCCTTGACGATCCCTGAAGCAACCGACGAAGAAGAGGCCTTTTTGACACAACGTTCCTTTGAAATGTGCACGTCGAGGTGCTTTTGGACACTACCGAGGAGGGTGAGAAGCGAGCTCCGCTTTGCGTGGACCGCGAGGTTTCCCTCTACAGGACCGACCTCCGGATTAGGGTTTGGGATGGTTCGGGGAGTTCGGGTGTAAAGGTTTCAGGCTTTATTGAGTTTTCGGACCGAGTTTGGGGTTTCTCCAAAGCTTAGGATAACTTGTCGGACTAGTGTATTCACAAGTGTCGTTCTACAACGGTCCCTTGTGGGATTTTTGCAGCAGCGTCTTGCCAGTCAAGCAGATTTCACCCTAATGGATCCTCATCATCAGCTTCGTGTTTAGTATTGCTTAGTTCTCAGACTCAGGCTTCTCGGATTCAGATTTGTCACTCACGCTCAAGTATCCTCGTTTCCAAAAGGTGGGTGACACGCAACCCTGACTTCAAGGAAGGTAAGCCACCCCAACATCGTTGCGTTCTTCGGGACCGAGAGCATCGGCGAGACGATGTACATCTTCCTGGAATGCATGCCTGGTGGCTCTTTGAATCTTGGCTAATGACAACGCCT